TATTAACGTGCATGATAAGCGAGTGCTCCAGACAAGCGAGTGCTCCACCAATCTACACCTCAAGACTTAAAAAGAGTAATATAAACACCATAATCTATCTGATTAATTAAAATTAATTACTATATTATTCCCTATTGACCTCAATTGCCTCTTGACAGGTCCTTGCATTATGCCCGGTCTTTCCGCAAATACTACACTGCCGAACCTTCGGTCCTTGTGACCTCTCGCGACCACCACTTCTTGACGATTCAGCTATAACCTGCATATCAACATCCCTCTGATCAATTGCTTGTAATGCTTCCCCTATAGTTAAAGTCCCTTCTTTCTGTACCCTAGTCCTTTTTCCCCTCCGGCATCGCCCTACTGTCTTATTTTGTTGTTCAAGTTGTCGAACCCTATCATTTAGTAAGACCATCTTATCCATAAGAACAGTTGTTGCCTTCTCAAAGTGCTTTACGGCTTCAATTATTGACTCAGGGGAGCTGCTCTTATGATTTCTAATCCTTCCTTGTAGATACTTGGAATGCGATTGGGCCTCTAGTGATGTCTTTGGGGTCCTTGCAGTCCAAGGGGTCGATGGTATCGTGACCTCTACGGGAGGCGTCGGAGTCCGTAGCTGCACATCAAGCTTTGAGATGACATTTTCTGGGCCAAAGGGAGCAAGCCCAGCTCCTCTAAACCCTCCCTTGATATTGCTTTCTGTAATAGCAGCTTGGTGGGCGGCATAAAAGGCAGGAAAGAACTCGGTCTTTGAGATATGAGTTATAGAGCATCTGATCAGATGCTCTATTTGTCGGCTATATGCCTTTTTCAGCGGCCCAAAGCACCCTACGTCAAGAGGCTGAAGTAGATGAGAGGCATGAGCAGGCATACAGAGCGTGATAATCTTATTCTTCTTGCAATATTCCTCGAATTCGACAGAGTGGTGACTTTCGTGACCATCAAGGATCAAGAGGCGATAGCGACTGTTCGTTCGCTTAGCTGTAGCCCGATCAAAGTGCTTTAGCCACTCGAGACCCAGCTTATTATCAGTCCATCCTTTCTCGCTCAATGCAATAACCCAATCGCCGGGGAGGTCGCATTCTTGGTACCAATTGGCAAGGTGATCCTTGCCTGCACCAATGATGAACGGCGGGATCGATTGACCTTCGGCATTAATCCCCTCGATTACAGTAATCCATTCGCGGTTTCCAGGCTGTACTTGCTTTGGTCTTCCTCGCCTGTGCGAGCTTGTGACGACTGTTCCGGGCTCAATCACGCCCATCATAAAGCCGGCCTCATCAAAGTTCCAGATATCATCTGATCGGATACCGTATTTCGCGATTGTATTCTCAAAAAGCCGAAACCAGCCACGAATAATAGTCGGGTCTTCGCATTTAGCTCTCTTATAGTCATACCTCCGAGATGGACGTGTCTTTAACTCTGGTTGTCGCTTGACGAAGTTATGAGCCCAGCGCTTACCGACGCATGGCGCATCGCGGTTGGCAAGTAGAGAATTCGCGATATCTTCCACATATGATAGGCTCGAGGGAAATCCTCGCGAATCTAGGTCTAAAATGAATTGGACTATTATCTGCTCTTCCTGATCAGATAGTTTCCGTGACTTTGTAGGAGTATTATGTGTTGAAAGAATGCCTCGCTGGCGGCGACGTAAGGCAAAGCGATCAACATGATATATAGCTGCGGCCTTTCGAAGACTTAATTTTGGGTCATTCTGGAGGGCCTGAAGGGCAAGAATAATCTTAGCTTCATTTGAAGACTCTGGCATATTAGGTTGTTGAGAAATATCTGATTGAATAGTGATAGTGTAGGTTGAGGGATTTTTGGAGCACTCGCTTGTCTGGAGCACTCGCTTATCATGCACGTTAATTGTTCCGGTTCAATGCTCATCCCGCGTCTCTAGAGCAGGGTTTACAATAGGTGCGCATGCACGGCATACAGTAGATCATGCGGGGAATCCCAGTCTATACATAAGCATCTGACTCGGCATTTCTGAAGAGCAAGGCCATTTTCCTAAGCAACCTGATTTCTGTTGAAAATTGCCTTGCTCTTTAGCCGGATGAATTTTGGCAGACCTTTGTAATCGCCAGTGGCGTGATACTGTTTTCCCTTTGACAAGCAGGAAACCGGCAGTCAAAATAGTTGCAGCGTATTGACATTCACTGATATCCAGATCATAATAGCTTTACATAGGAAGTCCGATTTAGAGCAGAACTAAAGTTGGCGTACACTAACCAAATCGACATAAATAGTCTGATCCAATGAAGCTTGAATAGACGTAGTATCCCTAGTTGAAGGCTTCCGCGGTTGGCCAAGACATCACATCTAAGACTTAAGCATACTTTCAAACTTACATGATGCGTTTAGCCTGTCCCACCGGAGCAAATTAATGGGGTAGTTTATTCTACTGCTCCCAAGCATGAGATTACCTGTTTAGGAACTCCTGCGGGGGATCTACATCGCGGTGGGGAGATCGTGCCATCTTGTAAGAACATACAGCCAAGACTAGAAAACTGATAAGTACCCCGTAGCCTGCCCTAGATGGCACCAAGTGAGATGGACAATAGATTAGAGCTGATTTGTTCCGACTGAGAATATCACTCTGGGAAATGATCTTGTCCAAGATGCAGCCCGCCACTGTCACCACTGTGGTGCTGGCTCTAGTCACCAACGTCGCTGCACAGGCACAAGGCACAGCAATTGTCAACCTCGCCAAGAACCATGGGCCAGCACAGGCTCTCGGATCAGGTTTCATCTACGGCTGGCCTGATAACGGAACAAGCGTCGACACCTCGATCCCAGATTACTTGGTGACTGGCATCAAGTTCAACGCGAATCGCGGCGGCGGTGCTCAGATCCCATCGTTAGGTTGGGCTCGAGGAGGCTATGAAGGGTACCTCGGCCGCTTCAACTCAACTTTATCCAACTACCGCACCACGCGCAATTACAACGCCGAGTTTATCTTGTTGCCTCACGACCTTTGGGGTGCAGATGGCGGACAGGGCTCAAGCTCTCCGTTTCCTGGTGATAATGGTAATTGGACAGAGATGGAGCTATTCTGGAATCAGCTCGTATCCGACTTGAAGTCTCATAACATGTTGGAAGGTCTTGTGATAGACGTTTGGAACGAGCCGGATATTGATATCTTCTGGGATCGCTCGTGGCCTCAGTTTCTGGAGTATTACAATCGGGCGACAGAGCTACTTCGGTAAGTCATAAACACTAATGCATATGGCTTTTCAGAGAGCTGACTGGGTCAAATTAGAAAAGCACTTCCAGAAACCCTTCTCAGCGGCCCAGCCATGGCACATTCTCCCATTCTGTCCGATGATAAATGGCATACCTGGTTACAGTCAGTAGCGGGCAACAAGACAGTCCCTGATCATTTCTCTTGGCATCAGATTGGTGCTTGGGAACGTGAGCCCGATACCACAATCCCCGACTTTACTACCTTGCGGGCGCAATACGGTGTTCCTGAGAAGCCAGTTGATGTCAATGAGTATGCAGCAGTCGACGAGCAAAATCCAGCCAACTCAGTCTACTACCTTTCTCAACTAGAGCGCCACGACATCAGAGGTCTGCGCGCGAACTGGGGTAGTGGATCCAATCTGCACAACTGGATGGGCAATTTGGTCTACAGCACGACCGGGGCGTCAGAGGGCACCTACTATCCCAATGGCGAGTGGCAGGTATACAAGTACTATGCCGCCATGGTAGGACAGAGACTCTTGACGAAAGCTTCGTCGGATTTGAAGTTTGATGTCTTTGCCACCAAGGAAGGCCATAAAATCAAGATTCTAGCCGGCACCAGAACCGTTCAAGCAAAGTATAGCATCAAAGTCAGCGGCCTGGAAGCAGTAGGACTCCCCAAGAAGGGCACGGCAAAGGTCCGAACTTATCGATTCGACTGGGCCGGGCCGAATGGAAAGGCTGATGGGCCTCTTGATCTGGGGGAGCAGAAGTATACTTATTCGTCCAATACGGTGAGTAGCCCCTCTTGTTAAGCGCTGCCTTATCTGCGTGCCCCTCTTTCTAGTTTAGTGGTCGAGCTAATTTTGAACCACAGCTGATAATTTCTGTCAACCCGCCTACAAATGCTACAGCCTTCGCTTACGAGTTTTCGATATAAAACCTGGCTACAGACCGTTTTTCGATTGAGACCAGGATGAGATAGAAAGTTTGTTACTTTAGGAGCATACTAAGTATCGAAATATGACAGAAGGAACGGTAGTAGGAAAATGCGGACTGAACCCAACAAATCATCCAGAAATCGAATCTCGTCGCATCCTCTTCCTCCTTGATCTCGAGCCCAGTGAGCTTCGTTTCTTCGAACCTGTACTTCCAAGCAAAGACCAAACTTGAAGGTCAGGAGGCAAGAATGTACCACTATATGTCTCTCGTCTGAAAAATTCCATTATAGATGAAAATAGAAGCGCATCCATGCCGCAGTAAACAGTAATTGCTCTCCCGAAAGCAACCTCGTGCATCAGATCTTCCCGTTCAAACCAAGATAGCCTCATAAATCTAATGATGGAGGACTTTTCTTCATCAGAGGGAATATATGAACATCCAGCATTTGCGACAGAAAGAGTTTCATCAGACATGGTTTCATCCACGTCTTTGCCATCAGCTCGAAGGATTGATAAGATGGCTTCTGGCGCAAGCTTGGTATTGTCGGTCTGAACTCCAACCCAGGCGATGACAGAGTTAGCACGGCAGTAAATCTGCGCGATCAAGGAACCATGATTAGATCGCTCCTCCGAATTGCTCTGATCGATACAAATTGCATCAATCCACATCGGTCTCCCAACCCGAACAACCTCCGGAATAGGAACAAGTTCTCTTTCCGCTGGCGTCTTTTGCATCTTATAAGCAATTTCTTCAACATTTTCCCAGTCCTTTGGCTTCGTGTATGTGATGTAGTCCATTGGCGTTTTACCATGCGAGTCAATTACCTTCATACTGGCTCCATAGTCGAGAAGGATGTTGATGATATCGAAATGACCAAGTTGTGCTGCGTGATGAACTGCTGTCTTGTCGAAACAATCCTGCGCATGGATATGAGCACCTTGTTCCAGTAGCCGTTGAACCTTTGGTCGATGATTGTTTTCCACGGCTGTCATCAACTCTGTCTCCAAGAAGAGTTCATTGCGCTGCTCAACGGGATCATTGACCTTATGAGCCATCTTGAGAGCTTCGTAGATGTTTTTCGGTAGAAACATCAGCTTTCCATTGATGGCGATGGGATAGCGATGCATGGGACCGTATTCATCAGTGTCGCCTGGATCAGCACTATCTGGATTTCCCCATGTTGAAGAGATGAGGTCGAAATCTGGAGTTTCGTTGATATCGACTGTTTCTAGGATGCATTCTAGAAGGGGTTCACCCAATATTGAAGGAGGTGATAATTGGCGAGGTCTTTTGATGAATGAGAGTAAGCGAATTGAGGATGGTGAGGGAAGATTTGTGTATGAGAAGTTGGTAAAGTCAATTGGAGGCGCATCGATTGAAGCCATGATATAGTTGATTGGAACTGTGATGTTTATGTGTGATACTCTGTTTGTTGGTGATAATTATCGTATCTTCATCGTGATTCTTATAATCTGTGTATTGTGAATCCTTCCGCCAAGACATGCATTGTGTGCCTATTTTAGTGCAGGCGGAGGGCGTTCTGCCTAGCTCAGCCCCTGTAAGTGGATGCATTCGCTGTCAGATCCGTCGGACTTGACTCGGCTGCCTCCCCAACCACCTGAATATCTTCACTATCCAACAGACGATCAGTGTGAGATAGTCTTCTGCTCTACAATGTCTAACTGGTCATCAAATTTATTCCAACGTCCCAATACAAGTTGTTCAATCCAGCAGCATCATTCTCCGCCTGAACCCCGCCGGACTCACCAGCCAGTAAGCATCGCAGCGTGATATCCCTGTAAGTCTCACCGGCGAAGAAGGCTAGATCCGATTTGCACTTCTTGACAACAGCTTCTTTGAACTGCTCAGGGGACATCGAGTCTGCTTTCGAGCCCTTGGACCCAGATTCAGCAACCTTTGCAATGGGCCGCCAGTAGCCAATCTCAGCAAGTAATAGTCCAACAGTGTAGATATCGTGGACCCGCTGGAAGCGCTGTTCGTCACCGTTTTGTGTGGATCCTGATTTCAGTCGCTTGCGTATATCAGGATGCAGGTATACGACTTCTGTATCCTCCACTGATGCTGAGATGGATAGTTCGGTAGGTGAATCTGGTCGTGAGATTGCGAAGCCGCCGATGATAGGTTGAGTAAGGTCGAGTGTCTTCGACTTTGCGTCCCCTTCATCTGTGAGAAATGCGATGTGCAGAGAATTGAACCGCTCGTGATGCCATCGAGTTAAGAGAAAAGTGTAGAATCCCATGGCCAGCTTTGAAGCAAGCTGGAGGCGCTGGTTCAGACTTGGAAGAGCATGCTGCACTCGCGAAGCTGATTTACTACCGGCCGCCGATTTTTGGCCACCAGATAGCATATCGTAAAGCGTATATACCTTGGTAGAGGACGTAAAGCTGCGAGGTAAGGTCGACACGAGACCAAAAGATCTGGCGCTTCCAAACTCGACGAATCCAAGAGCAGGATAAGCCTGTATTGCCGAGAAAGTTCCAATCTGCTGTAAAGTCCACGAGATCTGTGCCATGCGAGAGTGAGCCAGTTTATAAGCACCAAAATCTTTTGGAATAGGTATCCACTCAATGAGAACTCGCGAGATCTGACCATCCTGAGATGCGTACTGCGATATTGTGTATTGACATCCTTTAAATACATCTGCTGCGACGAGACCTTCGAATGCAGCCTCTTTGAGTTCCATCTTTTGGAGGATAGCATCGAGATCCACGCTCAAATCCGAGCCGTCTTTGAAGCGCCGTCGTATCGTCATGAGCTTGGCGCTTTGGCTCAGTGTCCCATTGCGATTGTTGGATAAGTTGACGATGTCCTTGATGTTTTCTGGCGAGTCCAGAGCGTAGCCTGCGATTCCGAGCTCGAGAATACTGTCCCGAATATTCTGAGGCAGTATACTGTAGAGAGTATTGTTCCAGTATATCATGGACTCCAGTGAATCATCGAGTGCGGTTTTGTCAGTGTCTTCTTTCCATGGACTCGTGCTGTGTTTGATCCGAGTTGTCCATGGTGTATGCTTCAAAAGTTCATTGGCGAAGCGCTTGAGCCGTTGTCTCGATTTCGCAGTGGCCTCCCCAAGGTCTCCGTCATGATCCGTCACGGCCGGCTCTGCCTGCATGACCACCAATACGCCGTTCCGCTGGAGAATCCCCTCAATTTTCTCAAGAAGTCTCAAGACGCTAGTCGCAGCATCAATAATGGGTTTGCCGAACTGCTTATCCAGCGCCACCTGTAAAGGCGAAGACTGAAGCGGAACATTGAGAACAGAATGCGACGAATTTTTCGTGATCGCAAGATGCTCCAAAGCAGTCCACCATGTCTGGAATCGAAAGAACTCCATCTCCAACTTGCACATCCAATCTGCAACATCATCCCCAAAATCGTCGGCTCTTCGAATAACGCGCCATACTTCGAAGCCCTTCTCAAAAACTGAGATCAAACCACCGAGGCCGATAATAAAGGCTGGTATCTCAAGGCCAGACATTTCGGCGCGGAGGAAGTGGGTTGAAAGGAAGAGATTGCGCAAAGAAGCAGGTTTGATGGTTTGACTGGCGATCTAGACCCTGATAAGCCAATGCAGGCAATCAATAGTGCCGGAACCCCTCATTTTCGGCGCCCAAGCTGAAATTCGTGCAGAGATTCCGTAAGCTCGTGAGAGCGAATATCGTAGTTCATTGGTCTAGACCGAGACATGGCTGAGATATGTCACGACCTGGTTTCAGCCTAGCGAGGAAATCAACCTTACATTCCGAACCCTGCGTGAAATAAGAAGCCATCCCACACTTCAGACGCGGGCAGGATCGCCAAGTTTCATGTATCGTCAAAATGGGCGACTTTCAATCATTTTCGACATATTCCGCTGATTTCTCAGCGACAGAACTGATCAACCGACCCGATAAGACATATGCCGTCAAAGGCCAAGCCGAATTCTTGGCTGTCGCCGTCGCACTCGATGTCCCAATCCTCAGTGCCCAGAACAATGTCATCGCCAGCATGAATATCCTTTCAGCTGGTGCAGGCGCTTCCTTCGCAGTGTTTGCATCAGCTGAAGAACTTAGTCTTGATGCAGATGAGGACTTTATCAATGCGACACCCGGAGTACGCGATTGGATTCAGAAAGCGAAGGATAGCCAGAAGTTTCGACGATATGTGACTAAAAAGATTGTTACCTCTCAAGGAGTCGCGAGTGACTCGCCTCAGCTTGCCGCTGCCATCAATGAGATACGAGTTCTATCAAATGAGACGATTCGACAATGTGACTTTATTGTTTCGATGCTAGCCATTTCGTGGAGCGAGTCGCCCAGTGTTGGACGGTTCTGGCCACAGGTCTTGCTTGAAGCTGCTGATGAAGGGACTTTGATGGAGTATCTCTCTTCTAACAAAGTCGACTTCAAGTCCCAATTGGCAATATCCATGAACATCGGTCGCGCACTCCAGTTTCTCCACGCGCATGGGATCGTTCATGCTGATCTAAAGCCAACGAATGTGCTCGTCTTCACATCCGGCCTGGACGAACACCAGCATGATCTCCTCGACAAAACTGGTCTTTCACCAATCCGGGCCAAACTTTGCGACTTTGGGTATGCGGTGATCCTAGATGATTACAAGTCCGAAAATCTATTCCAGGCGAGAATCGGTAGTCTTCCTTGGATGGCACCTGAGCTCGATGCAGAAGAGCCGATCAGGTTGGAGGATCTTCACAGAACAGATATCTACTCATTGGGACTGCTCACTGCCAGCATTTTCATGAACTCTCACACGCCCTTTGAGTCATTGAGCCCGGGAGAAGTGTTAGAGATCAAGACGAGACCACCAGAACAGGCCGGATCGGGAGTCGCAACACTCATAGAGAACATCAAAGAGAAAACAACTCTCACAGAGCAGCAGGAAGAGTTCGTTTACGCTTTTCTCGAGGGAACTTGCGCACCTTCACCCTCGGACAGGGTGTCATTATCGGCGATACAGAGTTACCTTTTTCTGGGACTCATGCAACAGCTTCATACTGGAAAGGCGACCATCCCGTTGGAGTGGTTCAAGGATCTACGACCTGCAGCAGACGGATATAAGTATGTAGCCCCATCATAGTTTTGATCTGATGCTGACATTCCAGGGGTGCTCTGGCTGCGCTTGAGAAGAAACATTCAGGATTGGTAAGAAGGCTTGATTTTTAATGCCTTTTTGGTCAACCACGTCAACGCACCTATGCTGATTGTCTCTCAGATAAACGAAATAGACCAGGACGAAATGTTGATCCAACTGCGGCAAATTTATGATGAAGTCATATCCATCAAGATCAACAACCCAGAGTTTGAGAGAATGCTCGCAACTTGTTTCGAAGACCACAGCCTCAAGCCAGCTAGTCTGAAGAAGTTTAAGAAGAACTGGAAGCCGGACGGGGATACTCAAGATAGTGAGGGCTTCATTTCTCGGATGGAAGAGATCTTTGATGGAGCTATAGCCAAAGTCCCTGATGTAAGTAAGACGCTCCATGATTGGCGTCACTAACATGTCAGTTTGCATTCGAGCACACTTTGAACGTATCTCTCATCCCCAGAGTGGCCCAAGAAGAAGCCTTTCGAGATTTGAGGGAGAGCGTTGAGTCAGGGGATGTACAAGACTCCGCTGCGCCACTTCACCTGGCTGGGGCATATCTCAATGGACAACTTGTCGAGCCGTCAACAAACAAAGGTCTGGAACATCTCGTGAGAGCAGCAATGATGGAGAACTCAGAAGCCTTGTCGGTCATACTAAACATTTTCGACGCATGCGATACGTCTTTACCATCAGAGAGCGAAGCCGAGTTACTGAGAAAGATTGAGTCTTATGGAACCAAGACATTCGGCCTTGCCCAAGGAACACTTTTTGACCATTTAGTCCCTAAGCATCTCTCAACGAATCAGGTCCTGGGTAAGATCTGGACTCGCAAGTGGCCAGAGAAGTACGAAGCATATCTCGCAACTGAGCGCAGATTTCCTAATATGTTTCTCCTCCATTGCAATAGTCCTTTGTTCCTGAAGGAGAAGCCAAACATGGACACTCCAGTATTCGACTTTGATCGTCTTGCGTGCCTCAAAGATGCAGAAAAGGAAAATATAGACCCAGAAAGGACAGGTGAGTTTAAAGAGGAAGTCACTCGACTTGACTGTCTCAACTGCTGCAATAAGGATGGTTTCACGCTGCTTCAGATCGCAACTGTTAAGAACGATCTTGTCATGGCTCGTGCTCTAGTTGAACTTGGCGCTGATGTCAACGCACACGGCAACACTCACGGCTGGGTACCATTACTTCTAAGCTGCCACTGCGGCCATTTCGACATGGCAAAACTCCTCATCGATAACGGTGCTGACCCCACCATTCGAGAAAGTCTCCACGGAGCTACGATCCTTCACTCCCTAACCCAGTTCTCCAAACGCGAGCACTGCGAGGAGATATTCGACATTGCCTTATCAGCCGGTCTTGACATCAATGTACCTATGAAGAACGGCGCAACTCCACTTCATACTACATTTGCAGCGTGGGATTATTCTCGAGGAGTGGCGACTGAGCTGTTGCTAGAGTATGGAGCAGATGTGACAAGACAGGTCCAAGGATGGGACGGCTTCTTGAACTTCGATACCGCAATCACTCATGCTGCGCAACAGCTTGACGTCGATCTCCTACGAAGAATGTTAGCTGCCTCAGAGGTCTTGGTGGCGATTCTAGGGTTGTCAGCGCAACGTCAACTCAGCGATGCCAAGGCTCAGGCACTCAGTGCTCTTTTCCGAAGAACGCGCTTCTACTGTATGTGCGTCGGAGGTAAAGGGTACAAAGGAAAGTTGGAGACTGTAATTTCCCTCCTAGCTGATGAAGACGCCCGCTCGATGTTGATTGAGCGACGACGAGTGGACAAGAAGCAACCGACAGATCCCTTCTTGACGATGTGCACTTTCAGAGGATCCGGTTTCTTTGTCGATGCATTTCTGAAAGTCTTTCCAGATACTGTCATCGATGATCCTTCGTGGAACCTACCGAGACTGTTTCTTCATGTCGCCATTGAGAGGAGAGACATCGAGGCAGTGCGGGCTTTCGTCAGACAAGGTGCAGGTATCCTCACCAAGGAGAGAGGAGGGAGGAATGCGCTTCACTTTGCAGCGCACTACTTCCCCAAGATCCTGCCAGAGCTTATCAAGACACTTGAAGAGTTCCCTTCAGAGAGACGACAGGGGAAGAGTATGACAGGGATATTGGAGGAGCAGTGTAACTCAGGGCTCACGGTCTTTGCTCAACTTTTAGTCGAGGGTTATGACGATGAACGAAAGCTGGCAGAGACTCTACGTGCTAAGTACTCTCTGAAGCATGACTATAAGATGCATCGAGATGGTAGTTGGGTGACATTCGGGGGCTATCTCGTCTCACTCGCTGTTGCTGATGGCTTGGTACCGGTTGAGCATATCCAATATCTTCTGAAACTTGATCCACTTCCGGAATATGCAACTACACCAACGGGAAAGACCTTATTAGCGACAGCTATCGAAGGCTTTTCAGGATGTAAGTGCCCATATACTTGTAAAGACACCGCTGACTTTCCCAAGCTCGGGATTCGTATGAACTTGCATGTCATCAGATCACAAGAATGCTCCTAGCGAAGTACCCAGATTTTGATGACGTCTTCCGTGTCGCCGATGAAAGAGGTCGGACCTCTTTACATATCGCAGCTTACTGGTCTAACAAGACCGCTCTGCAAATGATCAAGGACCATGCACAACGGCATTTTCCCAACAAGAACATTCCATGGAACACAGTAGCCAGCGGCAACACAGTCTTGGATCACGCCTTACTCGGCATCAAGGAGAAGTCACTTCCAGCGCTTGACACTGAAGTCAACAAAGTCGCCACACGGTCGACTAGGAAAGCTGCGTTGGCGTGCTATGTGTTTTTGCGTGAGAATGGAGCGCTGCATAATTGGGAGTTGGACGGGTCTTTGGTAGCGTGAGTTCAACGAAATATTGATAAAAGCACCTCTGATCGCTATAGGGCACGGTTAATCATGTACACGCCTGACTTTCAGAAGATTGGCCTTTTCTTGAGACTTGCGACACAGAGACTTGGGCTGGGTCCACCAGACGTCGACTTGGACAGTGAGTTATCTATTCAGCATCCAATTCATACCTTTCAAATTCTGACATCAATAGGATGTGTCGAGGTCGGCACTACCACCAGCCTCGATGGAAGACTTATCCGAGTTCCAGTCGTGGACCTGATATGGAAATATGACAATTTTATCCTCCGATTCTATTCCGTTCGGATCTCATCTCTTGCCGTTGAAGGCCTCCGTCAATTCTACGGTTGGCTCGAGAAAAGACTGACAGAGACTGAACCACGTTGTTATGAGAGTTTAGGGTTACCCGCCGGACTTTGTAAGTGCATGTCGATCAATGCCGTTGCTGTACTTACTCAGAGGAACAGGGCCGTTTATGACTCTCACCTATGACCAACCCATACCTTACGCAAAAGACACTATGCGCTGGACCCGAAGCGGCCGCATTTGGACCGAAGAAGAACGCGATAGCCTGAAGGCACAATTTTCTTCACTGTGGGATATTTTCTTTAGGGAGGTTGAGGAGCAGTTCTTGTCTAGGTTTGAGATGGCTTAATTCCGTGGCGGATTTCCAGATGCGGTAATTCTTAGACCCGTTAGTGCCGCCGTCCGTCTATCTCCGGTGCCTTAAGCGCTGAAACCTCAGCACTATCCCTAAAGAGACCTCTTTGGGAATAATACAAATGATACGTCCGATGATAAATTCCGTTTGACGATAGGAATGTTGTAGTATAAGAGAGAAGGACAGTCAGTACAAGCACCATTGAATTGCAATCCAGCACAATAATCGCTATCAACAGACTTTGTTTCCATTACCTGCAAGAACGCGATTGAGCTACTTCACCCTCTTACAAAGAAACGACATCTTCACTATCCACAATGCCTAAAGTTCTTATCATCGGCGCCACTGGCTACCTTGGCAGCAGAATCTGTAACGTTCTCGTCAACAGCGGTCAACACAGAGTCTACGGTATCGCCCGCAATGAAGCCAAAGCCAAGTCTCTGGCCGTTGCCGAAGTCACCCCCATCATCTGCACCGACCCCATCAACAAGCCGGACGCTTATCTCAATGCCATCCGCAACTTCAACATTGACACAGTTGTTGATGTCTCTGGCGCTAATCAGGAGTCCGCAAAGTTCCTCGCTGACGTGAAAGCCGTCGGTCAAGAGCGTTTGAACAAGGCAATGTCTGCAGGCCTCACGCATACCCCGAAACTTGGGTTCATTTACTGTTCGGGAACTTGGGTCCATGGAGCGAGTGATAAGCTAGTCAACGATCTCGATATCGTTGGACCTCATGCCACGACACCACCTGCGCCTCTTGTCGCATGGCGTGTCGTCCATGAGAACGGTGTTCTTGCAGCTTCTGATGTCCTCGATGTGGCTGTTCTACGTCCGGCGCTTATCTACGGTGGCGAGAGTACTATTTGGACAACCTTCATCCTTCCACTCCTCCAGGCTTCCCGAGATGGATCTTTGGACACTGTCCAGGTTCCATTGAGCATTGACTCTCGGCCCGGCCTTGTCCACGTTAACGATGTCGCCACTGGTTTCCAGAAGGCTATAGAGAAGCTTGCACTTATCAACAGCACTTCGGTCTATCCTGTCTTCGACCTTGTGACAAGTCAAGAGAGCATGTCGGAGATCTTCACAGCTCTGGCTTCACGTTGGGAATTTAAGGGACGCTGTGAGTTGGTAGGCCCTGGGGATGATTTGTTCGCGGAAGCAATGGGGACTAGTCTACGAGGCTCGTCTGATCGGGCCAAGCAGTTACTTGGCTGGGCACCAACGAGATTGAATGGCTTTGTCGCTGATATGGATATGTATGCTGATGCATTTGCCTCTCAACATTAGTTCCGAATTCTGGGCTGCGAATAGGATTGAGAGTGTCCTACTAGGAAGGCTACTAACATATAATGAAGACTATAGGCTTTACTGGCTCTAGGAAATATGTATGCAGTATTTACAAGGCTCTTGCTGTCTTTGGGAACTAGTATGTGACCTCAAGCTCCGCCATTACTCTCTCCCTGGTGAATCGCCGTCCATCTCATAGAATGACACCTAGCATATAGAAAACCCTAGCTGCATCAATAAGAACAAGAGTGGCAGCTAATTGAGGAATGGTGATATAGCCTGGAACTCTGGCTCTGTAAGAGTTATAGAGCCTCTAATCTGTCGTGTCTGGCGAGCGTTGTGTGGCGGCTTACACTCATGAATGCCCATGTCGCTGGAATGATGGCTTGGAACGCCATGCGCTTAACCTAACCTTACTAGGCAAATAGAGAAAGGTGATTTGCCAACTCATCTCTCGAAGGGTCCCATCACTATGTACACAGGTGAAAGGTCCAATTCATTCAGTTCACGGCCTGGTAAGTGACGTATCCTTGTCACATACAGTGTGCCCACTTCCTCAATCGGGGAGCATCGATCACTGGATACAGAGAGTGATCCGCCATGAAGAATCTGAGCAATCCCCAGGCACTCTATATGTAATGTAATCAAGTATATTGTATAGTTGAAACCCCATCTTTATAAAGCAGAAACTTTCAATGGACCCTCCAATCTTAACATATCCCTTCTAATTTCAATCACCCTGTAATTAATTGTCTTGCAATATTTAGGTACAGCCACGTGATTGAGCACGTGATACAACAGCATTAGAGAAGGGACAGAACCAACACACAAATGCACCCTGGTCGGGTCCAGAGAGAGTAAGAAATAATGATCTATTAATAGATTCTGTGGAATCTACTTCTATAACCCCGCATGTTAATTAAAAGCGATATTTACTGATTCACCTTTCATATCATCCTACAAATACACAGCTAAGATCTTCACAATGAACGACCTGCGTCAAATGCACAGAATAAAATGCCTTGAATTCTTCAAATACCGCTATGGACAGCGTATTCAGTATTACGGTCTGACTGCATATGATATGCCTACCGGATCTAGCTGTTCCATTGACCCTCTTTTGCCATATCTACTGAACGACAAGCCGTTCTACCAAGGAAGACTCTATGTCTCCAATACCGCGGTACCTTTTAAAATAGCAAATGCAATATGGGAAGTTATGGCTATGAACCCCGGTGACTATACTGTTCTCATTGATATGGTATCAAACCCAAGAAACACATTCTGGGCAATGTATCATGATGAGGCGTTTTCGAACACAACACACCCTCGCTGCCACAACGAAATGAGTCTTGCTGAACTAGTAACTGCGCTTATCAGCTGGCCCAAGCGAGATCAAGACATAGCGCATCGCAATATCATGGGTGCATTGCAAACCTACCATCATTACCTTCTGGGACACTTTTATGGTAAGTTATATTTAGAGCTTGGGCACAACTCTCATACGGCGTGATACTAACAGACGAGTTATAGGAGAGTTCTGGCAGTTGAAGCCAGTAAGACAGAACAATTACATGTACCCTCTTGAATTCGGTCTCATGGTCTACATGGAAGAACAATGGAAGATCATCGCATGGATCTTCCTAGACTGCGCACTTCCCGCGGTTCCAAACTTAGATATATTGGGAGATATGAAATCACTGTTGATGGACCGCATATTGGAGGACAAGGTCTTCGGCCGATATGAGAAGAGAGAAACGCCTCGTTCTGTTCACGTCCTTTTCTCGTCTGCCGGCACTGGGAAAACACGACAGATATTCGAACTATTGCAAAAGCAATGGGGATTCTATCTTCTGGCTCCAAATCTGGCCCCTACGCCGAAATTGTCAAAGATCGATGCTCAAAATCATGGAGGCATGGACATTATAGATACGAAACGATATTCGGCATCCAGAGACACTTATACCATGTTTGAGGATCATCCACAAATGATTCCAGAGTGGATTTCTAAAGAGGTCAATGTCTTCCAACCTCTTATCGTCGCACGTGTTGCTCTGCTCTACGAGTTTCTGCGCCGATACCCTTCTCCAACACCAACACAATGGCTCTGGCTACAGATATCCTGCGATACCTACGATCCGTTTGATGCCTTGTATAGACTTTTTAGGTTGTCTGCGGACCAATATCTATGGTACGATGAATATGTCTACGTTTGGGCAGAAATACCGGCCTTCATCGTACCCAAATGCTACAGTTTTCTCAGTCAACATCCCAACCAGTTCTTTAATGGCTCGTTGTATCACTGTTTCGATGAAGCACAACTTACTCTCGATGACCCTCAGGCTTCCTCGATGCTCAGCCACCTCTATGCAACACTTACATTAATGTATATTCAATGTGGAGATCCGTTTCGACGCAGTGGCGATGGCGCCAAAGAACAAATTGACGAGCATATGGAGGGTCAAGAGAGTGATGCAAGATCATTGCAGAGCAGTGACGAGTTGCCATACGTAAACCCTACTCTGGTGATTTCGGGAACATCACTTCGCCTGGAAGTCCTTAAAGAAAAGCTTGCCACCTACTCTTTTGATGCATGGGAGGATGGAGAAACAGTGACAAAATGGGACAGCTATCGCATTGACGATACATTTCAACTGATTGCATCCGACGCAGACTTCTGGGGGCTCTACGAGCAACATGTTACTGATATCCTCAACGAATTGAGAGCTTCTCAAGGTGTAAAGAAAACTGGAGTTTGGTCAAAGTTGCCTCTTTTAAGCCGCAGTGGTCGGCCCTTGCCGTTTGAGCCATCTGGGATTGATCTCGATATGGTTGAGGCATGGCTACGGAGACCATTAGAAGTTCCTACGACACAAGAGCTTTTGGCACTGGTTATGCAAGCCTACAGCCTGACGGAGAGCAGCAACATTTCTATTGATACCTCACAAATACATCTAGAAGAGCTTCTCGATAATCGAGATTCAGAAGCTGTTGTTTCGGTTGTTACTCTGAGCCTAGTCCAACTCTTCAAGACCGATGCAGTACCAGGAGTGGAGAGTTTTGGTCTATCCTTGCTGAAATTACTGGCCGATCATGGAAATATCGCTATGGACCAAATGAATTCGATCATTCAGAACATATATCCGCGAGTGGCGACTCCCAATACATCGCTCAGTGGAATAGCAGCGACTTTACACACAGGTTTGAGAAATCTGTTCATCCGAACTATGATCAAGTCGCACAGTATTGGTCAGCGCGGACGATATAGATGGTCAACGGTCTACATCGAGGAGATGATGCTCCTTTGTCAGCGCTTGACCACCCCAGGATCGACTCTATCAGAGATACGGATGATCATTAAGGAGGCAGAATGCAGAACGACAGCTGCAGCCATCGATGCTCTCAAAGTTCAAATTCGCAAGATGAAGTCCGCTGGGAAGGAAGATTTAGTCCAAGACTTGTTTCGTGCTGGAATCCGAGCAGAGATGATGAGCTCCCCTACTATCTTTCTGAAACCGAACTTTTCACAATTAGTCACCTATGGATTTGCCTTGGTTCAGAGGGACGGAAATACCATAAGATACACGTTTTCTGAGCCGATAGCTGTTCGAGCAGTGATGGAATATCTTCGCACGGAAGGAGGAAACGAGTATCAAGATCTTATGTTGCAGTGGCTTGTCCATACACAAGATGATTATGAAGTTCGAGCAATGTTTGGGAAGGCTACGGAGTGGTTCGTTGCAATGGTAAGACATCCCCAACACACTATGCATATGGGTCAGAAGCTAAAGCATTACTTTGCAGTCGTTCGATCGTTTACTCAGACATAAAAGGTTTGATCAAGTTGGTCAGCCTAGTCTCTTGGAAACGTCTTCCCAACGTGAGAACTTGTGGAAGCACTTATCAAAGGCTGTTGTTCTGGATTCAAAAACCCAAATACTGTTAAGTCTGAACTCTGTGATCAGAATTAGTGACTTTTCCCTGCCTGAATTGCAAACAACCTTCAAACATGAGACTCCAGGTACCATATGGAACTGGATGAAGCAACATCGTTCAGGCGATCAAGCTTCTTCGCCCACGTTCATGTTTCCTGATATTAATGCTGGCCCGGATCTGGTCTTCCTTTTACAGAAACAGTTGACAGATTCCGAAGGGCATAATACACATGAATCGAGGCAGATCGCCCATAATAATCGAATCGTGATTATATCCCAGGTAAGTACCCTCTTCATTACTTTAAAGATGGTAACATATTCTCATACCCGATATAACTAGATCAAAACCGGCCGAGGAGCCCGCTTTGAAGATGCGATGGAATCGTTGTTAGAGTGCAACTGGCATAAAAACCTGAACAATAGTACACGGGAAGCTGAGGCCAGTGAGCTCGAACACTGGGGAGACACTCCATTTGTATTACTTCTGGTCTGCACGGGAATCACAGTAAAGCAGGCGAGGGTACAAAGCTGGATTAGGATGAATCACAATCGTATCAAGGAAAATCACTTTGTCTGCGTTTTGGATGAAACTGTTGCCAGCAGCATCTGGGGCAGTGACTTTGCAGCGCTGGCCGATGCTATAAGAAGACAAGACTCACAGAAGGGCAAGGGTTGGGAAAAGCAGATCAGGAAACGCGTCTAGCAGGTTCATGTTCTTGCTATTATCCGCGTCGTACCATTCCTCCGTGTTATTCAAGGCTGTCTCTGGAACTGGTACTGATATCTGACTTTTTTTCTTGTGATAAACTCTGTGCCATAGTTTCGTCCTGGTGCTCGGGTAAAGAAACTCTCGGGTTGATTCCTGTTTCAATGCATCTAGGTTCCAGTTTTTAGGTCACGATTCGTGTTCAGGTCACTACTTCTTAAACTAAATGTTAATAATAGTAAATCTTGTTGCTTAACCAAAGATGGCTCCGGAATATCTGAGAAACCACAGCCGTCGAGGTACCATTAGGCGGTATTATTGTTCTTCATACCCCAATAAGCACTCGGTTGTCAGTCTACAGCCATACTCTGCCGGGATGATCAATATATTCATCGAAGCGCTAGGTTGACAGGTACCCCAAGTAATTCACACTGAGAGCACAACACAGTGTCGTCGAGTTTGCTCTGTAAAAAACATAGGTGTTAGGTAATTGAACATTATGACACCTAAAACTACAGCAGTAGAGTGCCAGACGTCTCATCAAGGTTAAACCCACCGCTCTTACTCCGTACTAACATTAGGCGTTGGGTTGGCTGCATGCTAAAGCCGCAAGGACTTAGCTTTTCGGGATAGTGAACGGGTAGCGGGCCGCCTGTGTCTGTGGCTGGCTGATGACCGCTCACTCTCCAATCGGATGCGTTCTGTTTTCATGCAATCTAGTAGGCCCTTCGCTTGATCTAGTTAGATAGATCCACCAAGTATGAGGCAAAGCAACCATAAAAACTATGACCATTTGCTACTTTTGAGTTCGGGCATTCATCCGTAGCTTTAATTACCTTGGTGATAAGTCCGGAGAGGTTGCAGGTCGGCTCCGGCAAGACAGCCTGTTATCATGTCACATACCAGTCATGCAACAGATATGAAGCCTCGAGCCTCTAGCTTGATTCCCAGCTTTCATTTATCCAGCAAATACTTTGACTTGTAGGGAACTAAGTTCAATGTGGTAATTATAAGGGCAGGATAAATTGATATGATCCAAATCATCCACCACGCAGAGGTCAGATGAACTCGACTTTTGCTTCTCAGCTAGCCACATTCTTCCTTTCGGGGTCATCGAGCTTTGATCTTCGGCATGGCTTTGAGAAGTTGCGAGCTGTATAACTTTGATTGAGTCTAGACTTAATATCCCTCCTGGCTTATGTGGCCTATGTCTCAGAGGCCATCCGGATCACGTTTCGTATCTGATTTGGCAAGTGGCGGAGTCAATTTACCAGGCGGACCGATATGTATTGGTGCAGATCGCTGAGAGTAAATTCCTCACACGAACTTAACAACGTACTCCCTTTCTCGAACTAGCGCTCTGAACGGTACACTTTGCAATCTCACAGGCCCAAAGTGCCTCTCGGACCATTTTGATGACATTTGATGGCTTAGACCCACTAATGCGAGACATCGTATTGCCAAGTATCTTTACAGCTCTGCGTACAGTACGCACGGTTGATCTTCTCATGTAGAGAGCCTGATCTATTGGGCTAGCTTAATGCACGCTATCACACCTGTCCTATCCAGGCAACAATGGTCTCTAACTGAGTCCGCCAAAGGAGTACGGATGCCATTGAGAACATTATGCCAGCCGTCGACAAACGAGCCGCTACTTGTCATTCGAGGGAGCTAAGCTAAGTACCCCTTGCTGACTTTCTCGACATCAAACGATTTTCAGTATCTGGACTATGCGCCTTACTTGTACTGATGCGAGACTCCTTAAACGCAAGACTTTATCAACTATTAACTGTTACGTAGAAGCAGTTGTGTGAAGGCCACAATAAACATGATACAGTGATATGATCTAGCCTACCTGACCCCGATAGCTCTTGTTTGGAGACTTTTCTCCTACCCCACCCCTTCGTATTCTCGTAGTAAGGCAAAGCTGAGATGTGACAAGATTGAAGTACGCTAATAAATTTCAGCTACGCCACCCTGGCCACGAAGACAGCACCTCATTTCGGTATATACCAGTGAACATATTTTCTAGTGTCTCGGACATGGTCTTGTGTATTATTTGAAGGAATGGCATATCGAGAAAGGCCACGTTTGTTGCAGTCTTTGTCCTAGGTGTCCAGTTATGTTACATATGCTTGCTTCTCTCCTGGACTCCTAAATTCGCAATCGATTCATGCAATTAATTCACATACCGATCAACATCGCTACTTTCGTTGCCTCAATACCCGCCGCCAGTGATCCAGGATGCGCCCTTCAATTTTGCTGCGTACTCAGCCCGACTCCAAGTCTTCAGTAGCTGGCCGAAGGGTGTTACCGTAGCTTCCAAATTGTAAAATCTTCAAGCAAACCTCCCATCTCCTCTAGAGGTTCCCGCTGCAACCCCTACACCAGATCCACCGGTGAAATTGCCGATAATTCCTTTTCCTTCCTCGTCTGGCACAAGTGGCACCAGTAAAGCCAATAAGGCGACTGAAGAGGCCAAATCATGGATAGAGCTAAACTTCAAGAGCTCGTTCATCAAATTCGACTTTGGTGAAAGCAGTTCTGGAATACGCCACGTGGAGGGACCATCAGGCCAAGCCGCAGCCATGATTCCTCGTAAAGTTGGCTACCAATATCTGGTCCCAACGCCAGTATCGCTGCCCGAGTTTCAGCTGCGACTGCTTCTGCATCCTCATCCTGCGGCGGCCTCAGTGAGTTAAGGCTTTGTGGGACTGGCCTGTCGCGATTGGTGCTCTCGGCAAGTATCTCTCCCAGCTCCACGACGCTGACAATCGGCTGTTTGGATGTCGAAGTAGCTACGTGGCTTATACTTCCAGCCAGCACGTTTCCCACGTCTTCTGATCCGACTTGCTCATGCTTTATGTTGTCTGCATTGACTCTGCAGAGACATTCTTTGCCGCAAACCCTAAGCTTCAAATGAAAGTCTTCCTCGTTTTGGGAAGCATTGCCAGACAGCTCGCCGTTCCCATGTTCCGTATAGTCTCCCATGTGTGCATCGTCACCGTCATTACCATCTGGTATGATGATACCATTATCTGTCGAGCAACGATAGTTGGCTGCCGATCACGGGTCTTCGTTTTGGAGATATCAGTCCACAATCTTCGAGCAAATACCTCCGGTATGTTCGGGATCGTATACTTTAAAGCTTTTCGGAGGAACCGAACCAATATCACACTGGTCCGGAAAATTCTCCCCGTGAAAGTAGACAACGGGAGAAACCTTGTTTTTGACGCCGCGACCCCTGTCCTCGGAATCCCTGGCCCAGCCTCGAGAATGCTAATCAACCGCCTTGTCAAAGAGATAGTATGGAGGAGTGTCTCTCGTAGCCTGAGGAAACGACTGCCTTGCTATTCTGTTGTTCTTCGCAGCCATATATGATAGGATACATGGTGACCAGTTCGAGATTCCGTGAGGATTGAGGCCCATAATTAATGGTACCCTGTACTTCAAGATCGAGATTGGCATAGAGATCTAGGGTACAGCATTTAGAGTAAAGATACGAAAAGTTTGTTAGAGAATAAAGAGGAAGTAAGATGCCACTATGTCTTGTTTTAGAAGATGACAAAAGGTTAATTTGGCATATCGCCAAAATGAAACTAAATCTCCGGTACAGGGAATCGAACCGCGGTACTGATCTCTCAGGTTATGAGAGCGCGAAATGTTAGCCACTACACCATACCGGATTTGGTTGCTAAACAGTTGAAATTTGCCGTCTAACATCTTTTCCAGCCGCAACGAGACGACACAAGAATTCACCACAGCACATAGAGCGACTGAGGTTGTCAAGGCGAAGCTTTCTTATTCCTCGTTCTTCCTAAGCTTCAAGATGTTTCGGCAAATATAACGTGGTCACTGGCCATTGTTTATTCTTCATATGTCATTGAACTATAATTGGTCAGAGTTGTTCGAATACATGGTTAAAGGGGATGTCCAATGAACACAGGTTCGGACTCAAGGGTCGATATAAACTGCACTTTATTCAATGGTAATTCGTAATGTTACAGCTGTTCTACTTCATAATCTCATCGAGTTTTCAACAGCTCGTTGAGAAAACATTCCGCCCACAGACAGCTTGAGCAGTTCTTTGACATGTTGCCAGATGAAAACGATATCTTTGGCGGATTGCCAGATAAGACAAAAATTGGGTTCCTACTAGAAACATCCCTTCGTGGTATCCACGCCCTCACAATGGCTTCGCCAGCGATGCTACGTTATTTCCGAGATCACGAAATATCTATCCCGAAGCCCCATCTGGACTACGTCATGGATCATCAGGGCAACAGAAATGTAATTCCACTAGTCATGATCACAACTCGCTTACGCCACCTGAGAGACAGATCAGAAGGGCAACCAGCATCAGAAGTCGAAGAAAGAATAGCACCCATGGTTGAGTCCATCAGATCTAGGCAGAGTGGCAAGCACCAGTTCAAACGCACCCCTTACGCACAAGATCCAAGTCTATCTGTCCTTGCCGCTGCCAGGTCTCTTATCCCCGAGCTCATTGAAGTTTCCGAGATTGGAAACTAGTAGCTATGAAGCTAATGCCATGCGAGGAAGGCTTGCGTTGCCAGGAACGAAATGCGCCTCTTCAAGAGATAGGAAATGGAATTGCATCAAGAGCTTCTTGCGGTATGACTGCTATTGTAATATCAATTACCATCCAAACATGCTTCTATTCCCACATTGGTGTAGTGTCCATCCTCGTTAGACCATTCAACAACTATTCTATGGCAAGGACTCGTCGTCTAGAAACCACACCTAAGAATTGCCGTAACGTTCGACTTTTTGACTTGAGGCCTTTTGAACTCTCACGCATGTGTTTGAAAAGGTTATCGAAGATGCACGTTATTACTTATGTCAAGGCCAAGGATCTCAGAGTGCCTCTCCGGGGTTATCGAAGCAGCGAAGAGTGAACAAGTCGCCCAAAATGGGGGCTGATCAGGTAGAAGGGGAAAAGGATAGTGAGACCGGAGGATTTGTCAACATGAAGCGGGTAGAGAGAGATTACTTCTGTGATAGGCTTGCCATCCAAGGCAACAGATTGAAGCTCCTTCTTGAGAGTTTGAACGAAGAAGCCCGTGCACATTATCTTGTGAAAGAATTTAGCAAGGCAGTTCTTGTAATGGAAAACCACAAGAAGAGGTATAAATGTGACCGCTCCAGCTTTGCCGCTCTCCGAAAGTACTGGTGATAGAGACCAAAACCACACAGCATCGTTTGACAGGATACCGGGAAATCTGGGCGAGGCCAGTTAGGCTCTCTATTCTCTGTGATAAGAAATGTAGGTAAATGTAGCATACATTTAGTCAGCGTGTCGCAAAAAAGGCCTGACGGGCTACCTCTGCTTTGTGAAATATCGCTCAAGTCAAGGCCAGAGAAGTATTCGTCCCAGAGAATGTGCTTTTCTGGATACTGCCACAGGAGCATCCGAGTGACTCTTGGCTGTTCTGTAGATCCCGGGGCGACATTTTATGTTCAAGGCTTTGTTTTTATTCTAGATGTTACTATGTAAACGCCAAATATTTCGTGTATCATCGATTCTCAATACTTCTGGCATGTACCCAGAAGAGTAAAGAGCCTGCTGAGATTTAACGAACACCTCCCATGCCATATTTTAACCCTCTTAACCCTACTCACAGCCCGTCGTGACAGACAAGGCCAGTGTCAACCCTAATATAAGCCCTTGTATGATCTGCACTCCGGAACCTGGAAAAAAGTGGCAAGGACATTCTATGTGCGAATGGACTCTTCCAAGAACGGATATGCACTAATACGGATGAACTCAATCCAAGAGGATGGAAGGCTCTCAATGTTGGACAGTGGGCACGTACTTGCAAGAGCTTTGAATAATAAACATACCTAAAAACATTGCAGCCCGAAGAGTATCCCAGCTACTCTTTACAAATGATCGAAGAATAAGTATAAAATATGAGTCTTAACTTCATACCCATGGGTTCGCGACACTTCCAAATCCCTGGCGCGCGCCACTCTGGGCAGAATTAGGCACAGCACCAGTGCCACGCCAGCCGCCCACAGTAACAATCACGGCAACAATCATTTGCATACCAAACATAAGGACGAGTCTAGTAGCGAATGTTCCAGAAACGGGATCCAAACTCGAGTACGGGGTGAAGGAGTATGTCAAAGTGTAGCCAAGGCGAACAAGCTGGAACGGAAATGCCGCGCATGCCGTGAGAAGCAGGAATCTCGCGGGTATGAAGTTGGGGTGCGATTTCATGGCTGTGACGCGTTTTCCTGTCCACCAAAGCCACCAGCCTACACCGAATATCATGACGAACAGCATCATGCAGGTGCCGATCTGGTTCAGATGTTGTGAGAGGACACCACCTGGGGCTCCGAACTTGGGCGCTCCTCCATATGTAGACAGTGTGATGCCAGCGGTGATGGAGAGGTGGGTGACGGCGAGGAGTATTCGTTCAGTCCATCGTTTTGGGGGTAGTGGAAGTATGACGTTCCTGAAAGCGACGCTCTTGATTAGTTACGTGCTCAGCCCGTTTAATATCATCCAGGCTTACACTTCATAGATCAACCCAATTATAGTCAGCGACAGACAGGCAATGCTTCCGGCGGTAGTCATGATAATGACCGCATTGGGAATCTCGGGATCATTGCGCTTGGCAATCTGGTATCCGTCGGCAACGAACCGAAGTGGGAAGTACGACAGAAAGATTGGCCAGCAGGTCATGCCAGCCTTGCCATGTTTCCACGCGAGCGGTATCGCCGGAATGAAAAGAATGATGTAGAGGACAAGCTCTGCAATGGCAAGATTGGTCTTGTTTGCAGACGGGGGATCCGGAAGTGTGAAGGCCGCCATATCAAGTGACTTGAGAAGAATGAACTGATAAATATGCAGGTCGATTTGAGCCTATATCAAACAAAGAATGAGAAAGATCTAGGAACAGAAAAATATGGGTTATACTTGAGGGATGTCGAAAGGCGCTAAATTTAGACTAGCACCTGAAAGCGTTACCGAAACCGAAACCGAAAGCTTAAATAAATAGGGGGCTGTACTCTGCAATTCGTGTCGCACTTGTTTATGCATTGACAATCTAGACAATGGCTGAGTCAAATCAAGATGAAGGCCGTGCTGGCTCATCGGGGCTGGAGGGTAAGCAGGATGAAACGCAACTCTCACAGCATTACGACGACGATAGATAGTGATATCAGATGTTACGCACAAGCTGAATTGAGACAATGCGGCTATGGAAATGAGACGTCATTCTCGTCGATCAACCGTCTGCCGGTCAGCCGGTCAGCCAATCAGAACGTTCTGGTCTATCCCTTAGGGCAGTTTAACAGCCCGGATGCGACGAGGCGCGAAACGCTGTATCCTATGAATTGTCTTTTCATGCTATTAACAGCTCTCAATATGTTTCGAGGAAAGACAGCATGCGACACCTCGAATATCGGATGTTTGAGTCAGGTTCCTCCTCATCATCCAAAGATAGGCCCTGTCATATGCTCAAACTGCTGCGCCCAAATCACAACATGGACGAGAAGATCGACGACAACCGAATGGTTTCCGAGTTGGCGCAGCACTGATAACGACACTTAACGCAAACATTGATCTTATCGAGCGTAGGCGTTGCCCTTGGGAGTTGCGGGATGTACCATCAAGACGCGTTCTGAGAAATCAAGTATTGTTGGCCTCTGCAGATACGCGGCCGCCTACAAGTGACTCTGATATGGGATGAGTTCGCACCGCGGGCATGGCCGTCCCTGATTTTGCCACTTCGACTCTCAGGTCTCAGCCCGGTGTCATGAACCGAATGCAGGTGGCTCATGAGAGCCCTCGTGCTTGTCTTGTGCTTGGTCAACTCATTCATGTTGATACAAATTGAGCCCCCTGGGCTCTTGTTCTGTTCCGATCCTGGATATTCAACTGAACACTCGAGCCATATCGAAACATATGGCGAAAGGTCTGTAAACACCTTGCAGAATGTTACAGCCATGTCGAGCCGTGCCGAGTCCTCTTTTGCTGTGTGGCTTGATGATGGTGCAGAAGGTTTGTTTCTAGAGCTTCTGTCGAGACGATGTCCATTATGGCATTCTGTGCAGGCAGATCCTCGTTGATGCTGATTGGGTCCACAAGAAGGTCAGCCACGTCTGAGGATGTCTTTGGTATTGGGCTTCACTTGCTTCATCGAGACCTTCGAGAGTGCATTCTTTTTGTCGCCATAATGTGCTACGGTTGTCATGCCATCATCTTGAATGAGGCTGATCAGGGAGTCATGGACAAGTTCAAAAGTCGCTGTCCAGAAAGGCTGCATAAGAGGAACCTGTCTTGTCTTTGTCTTAAACATCGTCATCCTCCGCTGTGTTGTTGTGGCAGTGTCTTGTTCGGGGTCTACCAAGGGGATGCGGCTGCACCGCTGGTATGCGTCTGATAGGGAGGTTCAGGCACTCACCATCGATGTAGGTTCTCAAGGCGTAAGATCAAAATCATCCTTTTGTTTATCTTCGAAATGTTGACATGCCTTTGCTCCAATATATTCGCACGGTTGTTTATCTGTCGGTAACTGAGTCTATGGTGGCCGACTTGCTAAGCGCCGGCTAAGAGCAACGGCGAGGCGATGATGAACCGGCCGAAGTCGACTTTTTCTCAAGTGCTTCCGTTGGGGTCCGTGCCACCGCAGAGCAACAAACGCCAACCACCAGCACCACTGAGCATCATTTGACAAGATGGCACCCGACGAAGCACAGCCGCACAAACGAAAGAGTGGTGAAGCGAATGATGAACGAGAGCTTGATCGTGCTCATGACTCTCGGCACCTGGATCGGAACCGAAATCGTTCAGGTTAGGTGCTGCCCACAACGTCGCTTGCCAGTTGACTAACGCCAGCGAAATCACAGTTTCTGATCCTGACGATGATATTCCGTTAAAGATTCTAAAGTACACGGGCGAATCGCGTCCAACACTCGTTCAACAAGACCGTCGACACAGTAGTACTGCCATGCCTGCGCCCAGCAAAGTTTTCCCGAAGCTACTTTCGCAACCTCGCCCCAGCCAACGATCAACCTCCTCAGGCTTGAAATGTGCTGGCTGCGGTTCATCATCTCACCGACTCAACATCTGCATGAAAGCCAGTGAACATGGCCTGATGACGGGCTGTCCGTGGTGCAACACCCTCGAACACAGCCTCGCCAACTGACCGGAAACAAAGCATGACCTAGCCATGCAGCTTGAAGTCATCCAGATGCGCGCCAGCATGCCCTCTTTCCAGCCAACTCAGGAATGGGTAGACGTAGTTCGCGCTGCTGTCGCCAACGGTCATAGCCCTCCCAGCAGCTTCCCTTGGACCATTCAGTTCGCAAAGACCCTGCACAACAGTTTGTCGCATTACCAGCGAGGTCTCGACAGAGTTGGTTTCAACAACCGCAAAGGACTACCTATTGATCCAGACACCAAGGACTGGGAGAGTGTTCAGCGAAAATTTGCGCCCTTTGAGGGATACTGAAGAGAAGATTGTTCGATCGCACACTGGATGGGTGGAGTCTTGGAATGGAACAAAGCATAAAGATATGCCTCTTAATTAACAAGAGCTTCGTCATACTCATTATTTCATTTTGAGGTCCTTCATGAGTAACGTAGTAAACGTTGATAGGTTGAAGAACCTGCTGCCACACTGTGAACTCCAATTAGGAATTCAACACATTTTTACTGCGGCGGGCGATGTAAGCATCAGCTGTCAGGTCTATCAACTCAAAATAACAATCTCAAAAACTTTAGATGGCACAAGTGAGTACATGAGGTTACAGGAACATGATCCGTGAGCTGCGCTTTCATTCATGATACTACAATCTATGGTGAAGTGTACATCTACGTGCAGTGCCTTTCCTTACTGCTGAGATGGCAAGGGAACTTGATCGCTCCACGAAAGTCCACCGCCCTCCTTGACGCCCTGAAAGTGCTGAAGCAGAGTCTTCATCTCACCCTCAGCCAATCCGTTGATCATCACCGCCCACGATTGCACAACCTCCCAAACATCAAGAAGGATCTGCCGTACAGAAACCATGGGATTAACTTGCGCAGACTCAACAATAGTGACAAAGACCCTCTTCTTCGTAGCGTTCATCTTTACAACAACGCTTGGCGGAAGAAGCTCATTGATGGCCGCCAGGTCTTTGGCGACGTACCACTCTAACGGGACGTTTGGTTCTACTTCGAAGGGACCGACCGCGTTGCACTCGTCGAATGGCTTGCTGACGGTAAGATTCCAGATCGCGTTTCTCATGTTGGAGTCGGTATCAGCTGGAAGTGGATCGCCAACATTTTGGAGGGGAGCTCGGGATGTGACGATGAATTTGTTGTTGGGGTCGGCGGCGCGGGCGGCAGCTGCTGCTTCGGCTTGGGCTTTGAGTTGTTCATTCACCCGTGCGATTCCTTCATCTTGAGCCCTTCGTTGCTGGCAGTATCTTTCGTATGTGCCGTTCGGTTGCTCCCCTTGAGCGAGGACGGATGGATACATGACATGGGCCCAAGGCCATTCCGGGGCATCGTCGCCAAGCGGGTCAACTAAGTTCAATCAGCACAGTTCCTTCAGCATAGCAGGTAAGGATAACTCACAACACAATCTCCACATGGTGCGCTCACACATCAGGCCAAACCAAGGCGACGGAGTCGCTCGCACACCAGTAGCGTAAAGCTCCTGGCACACTCTTTTGATAGCCGCTCTGCCATACTCGGAGATGATGTGACTGATCTCCGGGCGTATGAATGCGATGTAAGCTGAAATGTGACGGCGGCGAACACCGGGCTGCTCGAGTTCTTCGGCAGTAGGGACTTGGCCGGGGTAGCGCTGGCCGGAGCTTTCCTCGAAAGGGCGTCTGCGCGGTGAGCACTCGAGATAGTTCTTCTGTGCCATCGGAGTATTGGTCAGCTGCGTTGTTATAGATTGGAAGAGTGAGTTGTTTCGGTGACTTGGCGGTTGAGATTGCTGCGCGGCGGTGGTGGCTGCACAGCGCGGGTTGCTGCAGGTGGGAATTTTGCAGAAGGCTCATATCCGCGCTCTGTTTGTATTTTGCTCCGCATCTGCTTACAGTTCAAACGAAGACTCAAACAATTCCTCCAAACATACAATTGATTGCCAACCAAGTTTCCGTTTGTCCTTAGCCCAGTATTCGCCTACAGTGGCAGCTATCGCACTTTCCACTCCGCATTGACACTCGTTTCAGTAACGTCAATGGGTCCAATCCAGGCTCTTGAGCTTTACACACACGAAGAGATTCAATTGGGGAATTTATCACGTTTTGTAGATACTATCTTGAGGCGTATCGCATCACCGAACCATCCAACTCAACGCCACAGGGCAGTCACGCCAACTTCAGCCTTGCGAGGCATCATGAGAACTTCATTGACAACGCTGCAGCGTTTGTGTTTGTTCCGTAACGTTTGACGGAAAACGCAGAAAGTTGTCAGGCAGCATTTCATTAATGTCGACCGCTTGTTTTAACTCTCATTCTCATCGTTTGCATCTCCCAACCTTTCTTTCACAGTACGTGCTGGCTTTCTTGTGTAATGCAAACGGGTTCAAGTGACACAAAGGTCATCACCATGTTTCATACTCCACCAAGGGTCCACTTCGTCTCGCCTGGCTGAGGGTCTGTCGGTACCACAAAGCACTGCATGTAAAGGTCCCTTCTGCCCGGCTTCTCTCTCTCCTTCGTCTTGTCATCACCACTGTTTTTTGCATTAGGATCAAAAATAAGTGCAAGGTATTCCATATTCTCACTCCTGTATTTCAATCACTCTAGCTCAGTTCTAGATCTATCCGACCGCAACCATGGACAACAACCTCTTCATCAACAAGGATTCCCTAAACATCGAGGACCTTTTTCGCCAGATGAACCGGCCCATCATCTTGACCTCCAACGGTCTCATGCTTCCTGGTGACCCCAGCACCCTCCAAAAAGTCTCTGAACTCAAGGCCATCGCCATCGTCGCTGGCAATCTTCTCTGCGGTCTCCGTTTCGAAAGTCCCTCCGGCGAGACAGGCAACATGGTCGCCCCATCCGATCTTGGCAAGAATGCAATCGTCTACCAGGGTGATACCGCCGGCGAACGACCTGGCATCCTAGATTCTCAGCGTCAGGCTGGCAACTCGAGGTTGAATGATCTTCTTGGTGAGCTTTGTAGCTACAGATGGGAGAATGGACACTCGGACAATGAATTAACAATCCTTTCTGCCGCCATGATCCTCTTTCGTGATATAAACCCAACGCTTATCCAAAAATTTTAGAAAACCTATTATCATTATTTGCATGTGAACAATGTGATTATTCCGATACCGACATTTACTTGAGACAACAGCAACAGCAATAAATCACCGGCTCTATCGATTCTTACACAATTGCCATGCATGTGGGCTCCTGAGAGGTGGTGCTGACTTAAGCTCTCAGCCACAAGTCTCAACTGCAAATAACACATCTAGCTCACAACTTAGACATTATACCACAATGCCTGACCAATTGCGACCAGTTGCGACCAGTTGCAATATCCACACAAACTTTGAGCATTTTCTCAGACCAAACGGCCATGATTTGTCTTTAAGTTTCATCGTTGACCTCTTTTCTTCAACTTCCCTACTATCATCACCAACAACTTCTCCACGATCCCCCACTGTCCCAGATCGCATACAACCAAGGAACGATGAGTTATTACAAAGCCAAACTTGAACTAACACAATGAGCTATTCAAGATGAGCGACCCCCTGGATCCAATGTTGGATGACATCTATCGACTCTCTGCTACCGAACCCATCTCATTTGACACGGAGGGATATGAAGAATACAAAATGCCCCAGCTCGTATCCGAACTGAAACCCGTGGGAGTCATCAATACTAAAGGCAAGCTTATCGGCGTCCGGTTCCAGAACTTCATCGGCGATGATACTAACGTCGTAGCTCTTTCCAACATAATTCCCAAGGCTCGTATTTATCAGGGTGCCAAGGTTGGCTGACTTCCCGTGATTGAAGCTATTACTGTTGATGTCAATCCCGACAGTGCTCACTATATAGCTATACCTGTTCTCTCTAAGGATTTCATGACAAATCTGACTGCTGGTTACCGCGAGGTTGAGATGCAACTCCGAACTGTGAGAGAGAATGAGTATATCAAAGACTATACTCCTCTCAAGCTACGAAAGGGTGGTTTGGAGCGAGACATTATCGTCGTGCCTGGAAGCATGCCCCTGTTTTCGGGGAGAGGAAGAACGATCTGGTAAACATCATCTTGGAGGAAGTCGCTGTTGGACATTTATCTGCTGAGCCGTCTGGGGCTTGTGCGAATGATGTTGCTCTAAGCACAATCGCTCGTCGCAACAAACCATCATAGTCACAAGGCTCATTATAGAACAGCCTAATGTTATCAACCAATATACGAAGCTCAACAAAGGATACCATAAATTGATCATAGGGAGTTTAAAATTTTGGATGATTGATTGTGTTCCGTCTTCGCCAAGTACATGTCTGTAATGACCACCTGATCCATGTTTCGCTGCTCTCACGTAACACCAAGGCCTTTCAAATCCAATCTCACCAACTGTGACTACTTAGTTTTGGGCTTCTTCCCGCCGCCCGCATCCTTTCCATCACTACCAGGAGCAGATCGCTTGATGCCGTCCACCTGCCCAGTCTCTAAGAAGAATCGCTGAGGCAGGGCGTCAGGACCAAAACGAGGAGTTAAAGTTGGATATCTGCGCTTCAATTCCAGTTTGCCTTTCGGGTGGCTGCTGTAGGCGTCGCGATGGTGGAGGGTCTCAAAGATTCCGCGGAGGGAGTTGCTGATATCAATTTGAACCCGTAGGTTCTCGATAGCCAGGGCGTGCTCGATCGTATCTTGGTCGGTGGTACTCGCTATGATATGAGAATCGTCGGTGGCGGCCTTGATCTTGGTGTAGGCACGGTTAAGTCTGCGGTGGAAATCGACGACAACCTAAGCAGGATTAGCTAGACGCCAGCAGTATTGAGGTCCTTTCTTTGCTTACCGAGTCGCTCAAGTATTCAACGTCGCTTTTCCAGTCACAGATCTGATGAGCATAGAATGCTTCGAGACGTTGGACATGTTCGCTTGAGAGCTGTGCTAGATTAGCCGCTAACCTTGGAAGAAAGGGATATGAAATTGACCTACCGGTTTCCAGCTGTTGTCGTTTTCGTCACAACAACATCCCTTGGAGCCATCTGTAAAGAGATCAGCAAAAGAAGTTATGTCGAATCATGAACATTCACTTGCCCATACTGCGAAGTGCGCAACCAGTGGAAGAGCATCCGGTATAGGCGGCTCCGTTCCGCCCTTTTGCGACAGACACAGGAAGCCAATTGAATGAAGCCTGAAGGCAATGGATACAGTGGTGCCTTTCTTTCGTTAGTTCATCATCGCAAGCATTCATCCATGCGAAGGTGATGGAGTAAGGTGAACTCACATTTTGAGCAACTCGGTTGTCGGCATCCTCGAACACACCGGCAACAGGGCGAGAGACCTCGTAAATTAACGAAAAGTAGCCGCACGAACAAGAAAGCCATACGCTGTTCACCGGTTAGCATAGAACAAGAGGTTACTGGATGCCAATTGTAGTTGTGTGTTGCGGCTGGCTGGGGTACATACGAAGTTGAAGAGGGTGGTGTTGAAGGGAGATTGAAAAACAGAGGATTCCAACCGAGAATGCAGTATCAAGCTCCTGGCGCACGGCCCATTCTCATGCTGTCTTTAAGGTCGGGCTCACCTTCAGCCTTACAACTGTTAGTGCTTCTGGCACTTAGGACATGCCTCAATGGGTTCTCAAAGGGACGTCAATCGAGAAGGGCCAGGTTTCCGTACCCTTGAGTGATCTGGGGTTAAGAGAATGAATATGAGAAGACAGTGAGGGTATCTATGACTGAACAGTGCAAATGGCTGCAAACACCATTTCAGGATGATTATCGGTCGACTTCCCTGTTCACTGTGCCAGTGGCAGTCTTGGATGAAATTACTATTACCTACCAGTGGCAGTTAGACAAACTATTGTTCAGACACCAGCCATTGATCTCTCCTTTCTTCCTGAGATGTTTGTCACGTCAAACATCACGCCTGTTTTTACAAGAGTTCTCAACTTGTCATATTGAGACATCGGTCCCCTTATTCACATCAAGACACTCACGACACATCACGACTTCGCAACTATCATGTCTAGCATCCACGGTGTCCCCCCTAACGATGGAGAGGCCTCTATGGTAGTTGAGACCGGCAAATCGGACAGTAACGAGCCTTCATCTGCTGCATCCACTAATGAAGGCGAGTCAAGCGCTGTCGCTCAACCTGTTCTCACCATCCGTCCCGCGCCGCGAATTGTCACGATCAATCACGTTGGAGAACTGCGATTCATCGGTATTCTCGACCCCCTCGACAGAGCAGTTGGTTACTACTTCGACAACCCTCACGAAGACTTTCTGGTCCGCAACGTCATGGCCCACTCAAACCTTGCTGTTCGAGCCGTGATCTTCCAGGGAGAACGAGGTGCAGGTAACCACGTTGCTCGAAAGCTGCCTTCACTTTATCCTGGCCAGGGAGTTAGAGAATTCCACTTCAACCTCCCTTTCCGTGTTGCAGGTCCTGCTGCGCTCAGACAGCCGAGACTCCCTCTTGGCTTCCGTCGCTGCTTTTTGGGACTGAAGCCCAAGGGTACAGTTGTGCACAAGTTGACCAGGGATGCTGAGTGTCACCCTCCGGAGGTTAGACGGTACAATCGGATCTGGCAAGCTTGGAAAGAAGAGAACGGTGCGCTTCCTGAGCGGAAGTGTGATGTTGCTTTGATGGCGTGGCCGGCTATGGCGTACTGTGCTGGCGGTATGTCGTTGGAGTTTGTACAGGATCTTGAGGTTGATTCACTTGGAGGAACTGACGTGGTCATGTAAATTGGAGTGTGGATTTTGGAAGTGGTGAAGTAGCTGAGGTTTGGGTATTCTTGGTGATGCTGCCAGCATAGTTGTTAGATCCACCGGAGAGTAGAGGTGTAAGCGAGTGGATGAATTGGGTATTGGTACTTCGGTAAGGTTGGATACCTGATAGCGCCTGTAGCTGAACTGGTCAAGTCTAGATATCTGAATGAGTCAGTGAACATAGGCTGTTGACCACTAGATAACTCAACTAAAAGCCCTTCTCCCTTGATTGCCCCCGATCTCATTCACGTCGTCTCTTAAGCTTAACGTGGTATCCAAATAGCATGACATGGGGAGCAGGAAAGCTGCTGTCCAGAAACTCAGACTAAGTGGCCATGAATTAGTCTCACAGCCCACTAAACTCATGACGAAACTACCTGAAGGGTAGGATAGAGGTCTGAGGCTTCATTGCCTGTGCTTTGTGATAGGTTTTATTTCACTGTGTTTTGGAGGGCGTAGCAGCTTCATGACGTCTCAGAACAGTCTGAAAACCACAAAAATCACGTCTGAGATCAAATCGCAGAAGCATGCAGTACTAACAGGTCAGGATTCATCGATCAAGCGACTAAGTAACTACTCATCACTCCAATTCTGTTGCCAAAAGGCATCAATGTCTAAACCCGTGATCTCTTACCCAAAAGACGAGAACAACAAGAACAACCATTGCATCATTGTATAACCCCAAAGAATCGGTGGGACCCATATCATGAGCCTGCACCGTTGCTTATCCTGTCGGCTGACGTCTTCATCCATGTTGAGACCATCTAATCGACTTCGTCCTCAACTGCAACATCATTGGAGTTGACGCCGTGAGTCACCAGTTCATATGAAGCAATTTCGACCTCAGCTTCCTCGCGACTCAACTCAGTCTGCTCCTTCTCCGTTTTGAGAGACTTGGCCATCTCGCGGATCGTCTGGATGCCCTCTTCGATCAATTCGGACTGTCGTTTCTGCTGGTTGCGAATGACAAGAAAATGAGCCTCCATGTCGGCGAGTCTGCTCTCCATCTTTGCACGTTCGGAGGTGTGAGCGGGAGCGGACGACTCGGTTGTTCGAGCGATGGCCTGTATTCAGTCAGCTTTTGTTCTTCTGTTAAACTCGCAGCAAGTACTTACAAGATCGTCACTATCACTCTGTTCGTCTTCGGGCTCGTCTTCGGGCTCAACGCGATCATCAAGAGAAGACGCAATGAAAAGAAGTTCCTGCTCTTCCTCGCTCTTGTTAGAAGGATAGATGATCTTGTCAGCGGGGACTAGTCTCGATAGGGGCGGAGTTCCTTGTGGTCAGGTCCGTAGACGGAGGCGAGGAAGAACCAGGCCGGATAGTGGATGCGTTTGTTATAATTTGGCCACCCTGATCGCACCACCATATTGTAGACAGAACAAAGGGTAATGTGCGCCGCGACACTTGAGCTCAAATTTGTAAGTTCATACCGAACAAAACTGGCGAGGTTGTTGGCAAGCAGGACGCTCATATCCTTGGTCACTTTGTCAAAGTTCTCCTTGAGCGTAGAGATGACTTTCTGCATGACGGGATGCTGGTATTCCGCGCTCTGCTTGTAGCGATCCATCTCGCCTTGGAACTTTTTCGCAGAGTCGGGTCTGCTGTGGAGCATCATTGTCACCGTCGTCGAGTTGCTCTAAAAACGAACCAGTATGCAGTTCTCTTGAGCCTAAATGATTGATTCAATCAACATACCTCTTTTTTTGTGTCCCTCCTTGTGTGCGGTGATGGTGACGAAAGAGAGTGAGAGGAGGGGTGGTGTGGGAGGGAGAGATGCAGTTGAGAGGGTGGTGCACGAAGCGGCTCAGAGTTCAGAGGGCAACCACCAAGCTAGCACGTCTTGCACAGTTGAGATCCACTCCTACCTTGCTCTTGAATGCTTCAAATCAAGACAGACAAGATTCCCACAATGCCTCAAGTATCAACTCAGCATGGTGTATCTCCTCACGTCAACTCAAACACTCAATGCCCAGTTCCCAATATTGTCAATTGTCTCATAATCACATAGAAATCTATCAATCTATACCATATACATCTTCGCCCGAGAAATCAATCAGCGTAGCTTCATTCGCGACAAACTCCTCTTCCCAAGTCTGTTTCTCTGAATGTCGTCTTTCTAAACCACGTTTTGATATCGGGAGTCTATCGCGGAGTGCGTCTTGTTTGGTGTCCTTCGTTAGGTCGCCTGCTTTGGTCGTCATTCCTCGTTCAGCCGAGTTGATCTTTGTCGTTAGGCCTGGTTCAGCTGTGTTGAAATTGTGTGTTGGGCTGCCCTTGCTGTCGGCTAGGTCTTCTCTTGCGTGGTAGGATTCTCCCTGCGTGTAGGCTGGTGAGGGTTCGTCTTCGTCGTCGAGGGTCTTCGCGGGTCGTAATTTGTCGGATTTTGTGGTGATGGTTGTGTCTGGTACACGTTCACTAAAACGTCAGCCTTCCATCACTGAACACTCAGAGTGAACAACTTACCTGTTTACACGCCAGTACGGCGACGCTTCTAACAATTCCAAATCCACAATGCCCTCCGCATCCAAAATCTTGGGAATAACATGTTCGCGACCAACGGGTATGTTTAAAATACTTCTTACAAGGCTGACCGCCTGTTCAGGCACGGGGCCGGTGACATTCGTCTCGGGGTCCGTCATGATCCACTCGAGCAGCCGACGGGGGAGCACTGTCTGTTTCAGGATTTCCCAATTCTCGTCGTCGGCGTACACGGTGAAGCCGACTGTGTCTTTGATGTCGAGACCGCCCATGGGGTTGACGGCGGTTATGAAGGCGCTGCCGGAGCGGTAGATCAGTTGTGATTGGAAGCCCGATGCGAGGCGGACTTCGGAGTGTTCGAGGGTTTCGCGGAGCCAGGATGTTGCTTTTGGTGTGGATGTTCGGGGGCTTTTGAAGTGAACGGCGATGCTGGGGAGGTCAGTGGTGGAAAGGGAGTTTGGGAAAGGGGGACGTACCGGAGAAGCTGGTCGGCTTTTGAGGAGAGCTCGTAGGGGAGTTCAATTGATTTGAAGTTCTCGTCGGCTGGACCTTGATCCTCAACGTGCCTTGAAAGATACCGTGAGTCGAGACCAGCCCAGACGAGTAGGTTGTCAAGCATCCAAACAGTCTTTGGGTCAAAGTCCAATAGATTCAACTTCCCTGTGAAAGCCTCTTTCAAGTTCTGTCGATCGGCAACTGAAAACTCCATCGTCGAAGCACACAACAACACGCCATCCGCCGTCGAGACAGGGAAGACGTTACTCCTTGCAAACCGCTCTTTGTCGAAGATGTGACCGAACTCAGGTATCCGTTGACTCACGGCGACGAGAAGACCTCTGGCTGTGTTATCGCGCGAACAATCGGGACTCAATGATGAGACATTCATGAGGGTGTCGAAGATCAGACCGGAGTCGTTCTGTTTCACGTCGAGAAAGTTGACGAAGAAGTCGTGGAGCTCGGGGTAGTGTCTGCTCAAGTCGTTGATTTCGGGGCTCTCGAGTTTCGGTGACCATGTGCAGTCGGCGGCGTTGAGCCACGTGACAGCTTCACCAGGCGCGATGGCGATGATGGCTTTTTCAGCGAACGCGAGTCTGTTCAAGTTAGCAGTGAGATGTCATGAGTCAGGACCAACTCACTTGAGATCAGCGGCATCGTCCGGTGAGAGATCCAGTCTCATCTTATCCAACGCCCGATACAATTCATCCGTCAACCAAAGGTCCGCAGGGTCGAGTTCCGCATCGAAGTCGCGCTTCTCCAAGACATCGACGATCGTCCGATAGCTCGCATTCTGAAGCCGTAGCGTCTGTGTGTAAAACTCTCGTAATGACACGAGCTCCGACTTGCTGGCATCCCAATCTGACGGTACTGGGAAGACTGGTGACTTTGAAAGTGTGCTGGATATCTCACATGTATCTTCCAATAAGCATTCGCTGAGTGGTCTCCATATTGGGTGGACATAGACTAGCTGCTCTTTCTCAAACGTGTTCCTGGTCGCGTGAGCATGTCATCATGAATTTGATGAGTATACATACCTGACTTTTTGTTGACTCGCTGCAGGATCTTTGGAGTCTTCACACTCTGCTTGTATCCGAAGGTAGAGTTCCAGAATGCGACGGGGAAATTCAACTGTTGACGCTTTCGTTCGTCGTATCCGTACCAACATCTCGAGAAAGAAGTCTAGATCATCATGATACTTGGCAAACGCCCTGAGACACCTCCACTGCCCAAATCCCCCCTCAGATCGTATTGGCGGATCAAGCCTGAGAAACGGAAAGGGCTCTCCTTCCAGCATATATCGATTCCGGAGGTAATGCAGCTTGGGCAGCGGGATATACGAGTTCCCCAGGGGCCTGAACTTTCCATCCTGGCAGAGCACGCGTATGGCCTTGATGTCGAACATGGAGTCTGGGTTCTCCTTCGCGTAGATCTTGTCTCTCTTCCAGGCCTGCTGGAGATAGTTGAGGAACTCCTCCGGGTGCTGCTTGCTCATCTCGATGCATTTGGGCGCTACAGAGCGACCCCGCTCGCTGAACTCGAAGAGCCGGGGCTCTGAGGCTCCGAAGCCTCCATAGCTCCTGGAAGAAGTGCTGCTGGTGTCTCCACGATCGCCACGCAGTAATTGCATCGGAAACGGTGGTGTGTTTGTTATTTTCGTCAAGGTAAGGGACTCCCCAGATACAGATCTGGAGTCGGGTTGCAAGGCAAGCAGACTCACTCACTCACCGACAAGAGCCTTTGACGTGGCACTTGGTGGAGACGGTTACAGGGGGGAGGGCGGAAAAGACTAAATTCCGATGCGCCAGCCACCAATCAGAATGTCGCCCTTCTCAATTTTCATCGCCTTATCGTGGAATGGTCTCCGCATAAGCAATTGTTGTTGTCAATTCTGCCAAATCGCTCAGACGCGGAGAGAAAGACGTGACATGGGCATTTGCTACGTCATTTCCGTAAAAATCATGATTGGTTTGCCCCTGCCTTACCCTGTAACCCTTAAAAGAGGATTTGTCAGCCTTTATGATATGATATCCGTGCAATGCATTGAATCTGATCAAAATTTCTTCAATCTTGACTGAACTTTAAATATTTTTTCTTGATGGATCAGCAGGAGACAGGGGACTCTAGCGTATGACTAGGGTAGATCCGGGACACCACTAGTCAAGACAAGCTTTGCTATAGGGTGAGTGTCGGTTTTATGAGATCGCCAAGTTCAATTGCAAAGAGACTCATGAAACAAGCATGAGCAAGACCTGAGTGAGTTAAAAATAAGTTGAAAAAGTCTGCGTGAGATTCCTTCACTCAATTATCTCATTTTCATATCAGAACAGGGTAGGTGGGATGGCTGTGATGAGAATGTAGCTAGATCAGATTTTACCGCAAATGGGTCTCATGGTTGTGAGTTATCGTCCTTGATGCTTGCTACACTACAGCAAGAAGTGAGGCCAACGTAGCAATCTCGCAACCATCAATGAAGAAACATGGGGAACCAAAACAGAATTAGTTTGACAATACGAACAAATTGATCAATACCATTTGCCTCAACTACTACTGCGTCATGAGGGTAAATTATTCGCCATTTCATGTTACCCGATGACCGCACCTTGACCGACGTTTAGCCATTCCGGCCCGTCATCGCGGATGATCTCTCACATGCTTACTACCAAATTGGGAGATACCGCAAGCACGCTTAACCAGCTTAAGCTTAGATCTCCACAATTACTTGGCGTGTCAATCCAAAAGTAGTAGAATTGCCAACTGGGCTGTGCCAACTTCCCCAGGCACGGCCGGAGACAGGCATTACGCCCTCCTAATATAAACATCAATCACTTCCCATCTTCAACCTTCAATCGTCACAATTTCAACAATGGCTACAGTTACGCAGACCGATACGAGATTGGAGACCTTTGAGCTCCGAAGCTCACCCAGCCCGACGCGGAATGTACTCGATGACACTGAACCTCCGCATTCATCGAAGCCAAGTACCGGGGAACTACTCAAGATTCTCAGCGCTGGATTCAGTTTCTTCGTCGCTGGCGTTAACGATGGAAGTATCGGCGCTTTAGTCCCTCATATAATTCGAGATTACAATGTCACGACGGCAATCGTCTCATCAGTGTGAGCAGCCATATCCCCAGCCCAGCTCAACTCTTCCTGACGATGACAGTTACGGCGCGAACTTTATGGGATGGTTCTTCGGCGCCTTCTCCAACACTCACCTCTGTCAAGTCTTCGATCTCGGGTCAATGCTTACGTTGGGTGCTGTTCTGCAAGTCATCGCTCACGCGCTCCGGTCTTGGAAGCCGCCTTTTCCCCTCTTCACCATCACCTTCTGGCTCGCGAGTCTGGGTCAAGCATACCAAGACACGCACGGAAACACTTACGTCTCTGGAGTAAAGGGCTCTCATAGGTGGCTGGCGTTCATTCATGCGATGTACATGGCTGGTTGTCTTGTTGGACCATTCGTCGCGACTGGTGTTGCTTCTGCAGGAAGGACGTCGAGATGGTACTTGTTCTATACATTCCCACTTGGAATCGGTGTTTTGAACGTCGCTTTCGTTGTCTACGCGTTTTGGGACACTCTGAGACTGAAGAGAAAGCAACCGCCAACCGAACGTACCCTCGAGGCCGATGAATCGCCTGCATCAAGAAACGACGATGCATTTTCCTTGATGAAGGAGACTCTCAAGCACAAGAATGTCTGGCTCATTAGTCTCTTCTTCTTCTTCTTCCTCGGCGCAACTCTCACAGCTAGTGGGTGGGTTGTAGAGTATTTGGTCGAGGTTCGCAACGGGGACATCAATCAGATGGGTTTCGTGCCCGCTGGATTCAGTGGAGGATCACTACTTGGGAGACTGTTTCTTGCGGAACCTACACATCGGTTTGGAGTTCGCCCAATGATATTTGCTTTCACGATTCTCAGCATCGGATTGCTAGTTTTATTTTGGCTGTGAGTCTTCGTTCGTGATGCTGGAGATCGAGCTAACGTTTGCAGGGTTCCGAACATCATCGCCGCTTCCATCGCCATCAGTCTGCTGGGCTTCTTCATGGGACCATACTTTGCCACAGTAGGTTGACTACATAACCTCAAGCGACTCAGCTAACCAGACCAGGGTATCTCTGTCGGCTCGAAACTTTTCAATCCTCGCATCCAATCAACAGCTTTGGCATTTGTGTTTGTATTTGCGCAGCTCGGAGGCTGCCTGTTCCCAATCATCACTGGTCTCATCGCCGCCAGTGCGGGAGTCTCAATTCTTCAGCCTATTCTTTGTGCGCTTCTGGTTGCTACAAGTGTTTCTTGGCTGTTTGTTCCGATGCCAAAGGAAGGTGATAATACGACACTGCACCAGGAGTAATTGGACTGTGGGGTCTTGCGGCGAGGACGAAGCGCAATATGCTGCTCTAGTGCTGAATCAAGAGGAGGAGGAGGAGGAGGAGGAGGAGGAGGGACCGATGGTATATGAGAGAACCCATTTGAACAGGAAACGCGAAGTAGCAATAAGGGGGCCATTGCAGACACGTGAGTTGTTGACAAGTGTTGGGAAATGAAACATTCGATTATTTGTAACGATTGTGAGATACAAGCTTTGTCTTTTCAGCCTCATTTCTACTTCTTCACCCGACATGTCGCTGATGGCATCAATCTGCCTCACCACTGTCTCTTCTGAAAACCATCAAACGTTCCTGTAGTAGGGTTCATGTTATACCTATCCCATTTCACGCTGACCCAGAGATATGAGACGCGCATCAAGCGCCGTCGTTATTCTCAGCCAAAAGTTGATCTGCATGAACTTCTCATATGAGAGGACAGACTCAAGCATCGCTTGCTCATCGGTCGGTGGCGCTATACTTGAGAGCAGAGTTTGTGGTTGAGCTGGAGACGATGGTGACTATGTTGAGCGTGTTGTGTGTATGGTGGCTTAACTTTTGAACGGGGGGAGTAGCGGGATCTTGCACGGGCCACTGACTGGGAGCTTGGGGTGACGCAAGGGGACGCCAGCTCTGACTTTGCTTCCCAAATCCGCTATGAAGAATCGCAACCGAGGAGCGATCGCGGAGCGGTCGAGTATTTCACCAACCGTCAAGGTAAACAAGACCTTCTGTACTGTGGGAATACTACTGACGAACAACGCCAGACCTTGTTCATCCAAAAACGAACTCTTGCTTGCCGAACTTCACCCCGTCGCCCAGCCGCTTAGCCTCCTTCGCTTGACAGTTCTTCTTCTCCCAACTCTCCAAGCTTTGCTACAACATCAGAAAGCAAGGACAAGCGCAAAAGAGACTCCAACAGCCCTCCCTCTTCGGGTGGCCACTATAACCATCCTGCCAAGCGCGCCAGGAAATACTCACCACATCTCTTTGTCTCAACAAAGGAGGAACGATACACTGAACGTCTGGCCCACATGCGAGACAGACTCGATAGATATAAGCCATCAACTACTAACGGAATGTGGCCTCACGTCGTCGGCCCTGATGTAGCGCCAGCCAGCCAGACTCTTGAATACGACACCTCTGGCGGGAAGGCCATTGTCGATTCCATGGCGAGCGACATCAACGACGGAAACTCGGACATGTATGACAGGCAACTCAATCTGTTCATCGTCTGTGCCCGTATGTTTCTCGCTGTTCGCCGATTTCTCTGTTCTCGCCTCTCTTCGGTCTGTCTTGCGATGCGCCAACCTCAGACCAGACTTTAGTCGACGGTGCTCCGTCTCTTTGGTCACAAACCCCAGTCCGTCAGCTCACCCAGATCTTGACGCACCCTGTCTTCAAAAGTAGGAGGGATCATTTGGCTACCATCCTTCAATATGCCTTCATCCTACGAACAAACGATCGACGACCGTGGGTCATGGCTATGCGGTTCCGAACACATGGTGGTATCCTGGAAAACCTACAAGACGAATAAACGCGTTGAAGGGGGGCGATGGATTGCTTCTCCACTCGGTCAGAGAGCTCCATCAAAATGCTCGTATAGCGAACAATCTCTGGGACTCGTCTCCTCTTTCTGATCTCATGGAGTCTCTCGAAATCATCGTCAAGCCATGCGCAACCTCTGATTATGGAACCCGTTTCCACGTGGGTGTACCTCTGTATCTGGCCACAGCCGCCGACATCAATAATGTTTAGCTTGCAATCGACAACTCGGCTTGGGCTGGGATACCTGCACTTCTCAGTACAGACCTGTGCTACAAACACTCCCTGGACGCAACCGAAATGTCGGATGACGGACCCGACTTCGACCAACTCGCCGACTTTTACTGTAGATCATGGTACTTTGAGGAGCGGGAAATTGCCAACTCCATTGAGAGAAATTCCCATCCACTACTATTCATGGTAATTGGGACAGAAAGTGACCAGTCTCAGAACCCCCCGGAATCTGCGAGGTATTTTCGTGGGCGCAGATTTTGTCGATGAGATGTTGAATAAGTATACGATACTGAAGTAGTAATGATGTGGTCAAACTGTGGCCGGTCAAGAGGATGTTCCTTGGTCATAAGAGCGAACTTGCGAGTGGTGTTTTGGGAAGAGTGTACCATTAAATATTCAATTTTCTTTCACAGTCCAAACAAAAATGATAGGACGTTTTCACATAATGATGTTACAGTCAAAAGTTTAGGCTGTTTGTTATGAGAATCAAATGATACAGTCATGGGATGTTCTGTGTGCAAATGCCAGCCATTATTTGTCATTACATTTACTCTAAGCTATGAGCTGTTGACCATCAGGTCCCCTTGGACCATATCCAACCGTTATAGGCTGCCGTAACACAAAACCAACCACGACCTATCGTATTGCTCGCCCAATCGTATGATCAGTAAGGTTTCGATTTTGTCACCAGATATGTAACACACAAATTGCGAGGGAAAAGAGCCCACTATAGTGAGCGCAGGTAGCTACTAACGACGCTATGTCACCAGAGCAGGCTACATGAATGTTCTGAGTGAGAGTGTTAGCGGGGCTCTGACAAATCACATCGAAGGACGAACATACCACTGGAAAAAGAGTGTCCTTTGCCAGACGCTAACGTCACGCATATCCAAGCTATGCAAGGATCACTGTCGATTGCGACCGAGAATGGTGTCAAAGATCTCCCGTTCTCTCTTCATGGATCCTGCCACGATCAGATCTGACAGTTCTTCCGAGTCACGAGGAGCATTGTTCTCAACCCCAGTCTTAGCCACATAGCGGGGGAAGTTGATATCCGTAGGAAGTTCAAACAATCCCGCCTCATTACCCTCACCGCAGTGAAGTTCCATAGTGTCAAGGGCCTTGTGGATGTTCTGAAGATCAAGCGTGGTCACACTGTACACTTCGAAGCTACGCTCTTTCGCGATGTAAGGACCTTCTGTCTTCAGAGAATCTTGAACGACCTTGGCGAGCTGCAGCATCACAAAGATCAAGTGTTTGGGATCTGTCAGGTAGGTCTTGATTCCGTCCTGCTGTTCCCGATAGAGGGGATCGTCAGCGGTGAGGTCACGAGCTTTGATGCAGCGTGGAGGACTTTCGTTGGTGCAATGACTTGCGAAGGTCTCGGAGATGGGAGTTGACACAGGTCCTGAGCACAACTCCATCACACCGCGAAGTTGCTTGAGCGGATCCACGTCCGGGATTGGGGGCATCTTCCAAGGACGTCTATCATCTGTGCGGCAGATGACGGCATACTGAAGAATCAGAATGAGGTTGTTGGTACCCTCCATTTCAAAAACAAGGTGCGAGATGAGGCGACAAAGCTCAATACAGAAAGTGTGGCCCCAGATCGGCTGGTGTGTTTCAGCGCGAAGACCACGAACGGGAGAAAACAGACAGATCGGGTTCTCATCACACTTGCGCATGCAGATCTTGAAGAGGAATGCGAAGTGGGCTTCTGTGCCAAAGGCGTACGTGATAGCTTCGGGGACAAGGCATGATGGGTAGGCAGAGGCGTCGGTGAGGTGGGCTTCAGAGGGATATCCGACCTTGCGCAGACGTGCCTCCGGGGGGAGTTCGATGAGAAGTGCCATAAGCTGGTCCATGATAGGCGAAAGTGAGGATGAAGACGAAAGTGAAGGTGAAGGTGAAAGTGAGGATGAAAGCTGAGATCATGTTGAGAAGGGATTGAAAATGAAGAAAGACATGATGGGATAAATTGACGAGAAGTGACAACCGCTCTGGATAAGGCGCCAGGCAACCAAAAAGAGCGAGCTCTACGCGTCTGGTGGTACAGAGATGGCCTGTGACGTAGCTTGAGCAAACAAATCGCAGATACCCGTGGGCAAGCTGCAGCGGAAGTGGAATTCAGCCGTAGATATTCCGGCCCACCCCCTGGCCACCATAACAAACAGGCTTCCCTACCTTAGGGGAGGCAATAAAACCTAGGACCATTATCCTAAGTGATGAAAGTATTTAGGTAAGCAAAGTGTATCTTAGTAGGTCTTTAGATCAGTTAGTTTTAGCACCCTGATTTAATGTCAGAAGATTCAATAACCGTTCCTCATCAGCAACCTGAGCAAAGACTTCAAAACAGACCAGCTAGAATTACCTAGGAAGAGGGATCATCCAACAATAAGCGCACCGATGAGGTCTTTTCCCTCTGGTCTGGAACGTCCGTCCGAGGGCCTGATTCCAACGCGATGCCTCAACTAATCACTTGGAGGGCTGAATCGATCAACTTGCTTCAGGAGTTCCCCTGTCCAAAACTCTTTGAACAAGTATTCCGACTGCCCTCTGGATTACTTCCAGCGGAACATGGTGGAGTCGTGAGAGCTCGGCAAGAGTTACGCTGAGGGCTTTGGGGAGGATTTGCGAAGGAAAGGACAGCTGAAGAGAAGAATCAAGAAGCTATATTTCTTTTACCAAACCATTACGTTCGCCGTGCATGCATTGTGTATATCGTCCGGGGAAATCTTTACAATTACGCGGGAGTGATACTTGGCCATGCCCATACGACTTGAAATCATGAGTAGAAGAAGGGTGCATGTAACAGAGTGACGGGGATTTGAACCTGCGATCCCACAACTCATGAAGATATCAAAAAGGGATAGCGGCTTCGTGGGCAGAGCTCTCCCGCTTGGGGAACGGCAGCAAACTGCTGCACCACCCTAGCGTGTGCCATACCTGACCACTACCCCCGCGAGATCATTTTGAACTGTTGTTATATATACCCTTCGAGGGCCGATGGAACCGAGCCTGTCGCCAACCCTGCCAACGTATTGCCGCATGGCTACGCCCAAGCAAACTAACATTGTTTCAAAGTGCAAATGCATGAACAAGTGGTTTGAAGCATTACAAGGGACGGAGAGCATGGAAGCATTTGATATCTTTGCGAGATTTGATGGCATAGAGAAACTTATAGAATACCATCAATAATTGCACAGGGGACCTCGACAACGATAAGTTCATGTCTCATATTGAGCGGTATTGGTTTAGAAAGCTTTATGATAGTTAGTCCACCAGGAGGTGAGCACCATGTTTCCTCCTTTTCTTGACAGAAGTTAGTTTTCCTGTTCCTCTCTCCTCGTTCTCTTTCTGGACTCTATTTTCCTCCTTCCTGGCCTTGATGCCTCGATCAAAGAAATAATTCAGAAAGGCGAAAGTTGGCCTGTCTCGGGGAAGATGAGCAATTTCTGAGATACCAGAATCCGGCATCGTGTCACTAGCGCGACAATAGAATAGCATATAGTTGCCATCTAGTCTGTGCTCCAGACTCAACTTCTTCTCCCAAGCGTCATGGTGAGGGCATGGTATGATTTGTTCACCGAGGAACGCGTATGTCCTGATTTCGTTGTCGCTCAGCGAGACTGCTGCAACCAACGTGTTGAATCATTCTCTGTCACTCGGGATAGGCTCTGAGATATTGCTTTTGGCGATGGCGATGTGCGTGTTTTTGAAAGTTGTGAATGGGAAGGACTCCAAGTTCTTGTTTGTCTTCTAGTGGACACGGATGATACAGGCTCTACGTGCATGCTCTACTCTGTCGTATTGTCGGTTGTGATCGGTCGAAAGTAAATTTCATGTGCTGCTTGAAAGACCCTCTTGGGGCCTTCTTGCCGTTAACCACGGTGAGTTTGTCAGCTTTGGACTCGGAACTTAACAGCTCGCACCGAGGATGATATGACCACACTTCTGATAGGGTATATGGGCAGGATCGCATCGAGGAATTGAACGCAAGAGTTCAGGATATTGACGACAACATCCTCACTCCCCGCAAGATCAACCTGCAGTATCGGGGAGTCGGACCCAGATCTGCGTGGCTCCGGGGCCATTTGACTGGCTTGACGAGACATGCCCTGTAGAGGTTGTGAGATTCGCGATTCAAGAAGGCTTCTTCATCAACTGAGAGATGCCGAGATTTTTAAAGTCAATTGCAGGGTCCGGGGCGGGAGGGGAGTTGAGAATATACAAGATGTTCTGCTTACATTGTTCCCACTCATCTGTGTCATAATCGATGTCCGGCTAGACAAGGGCAAGCGCAGCGTTGTTCTCCTCGGTTCCTGTATACTTCTTTTTGTCAAAGTACCCGGGTAGGATTTGGCTATAGATGTCAACCAACGCGAAGAGGCAGTCCAAGCTGTGGGTGTCGTAGGCATCTGGGTTTAAAGAGTATGAGGCTAGGTGGACGTTGCTGGAGGTATCGGCGGATTTCTGCACGGATTCGAGACAAGTCAAGTTCAACCACCCATGCCTGTGAGCGCAGTAAAGCTTCTCGCGCTTGAGTATACCTAGCCGTCTTTGGCAGTCGGTTCGCCAAAAAGCCGGCTCTTCTCTCGCTCTGCATCCCTCGACTGTCGAAGCTCCTCGATGAGCTCTGTCTTGCTAGCCAACGCGATGCGCAGGTCTGTAACAGAATCCTTGAGCAGCTTGATTTCGGCTCGCAGGATTTTGTTCTCGACATTCATGGCGTTCTCCTGGCCTTCGGCTTCCGATTTGGCAATCGAGTCATCTTGCCCCTCGTCGGTTGGCTTTCTCTTCTTGGGTCATGCCATTGTTTTTGGTTGGTAGCTTTCAGTCCTGAAGCGTCGGGATGCGGACTGATGGTTGGACGTGTGCTGGGGTGAACCCTTTTCTAGTTAGTAAATGCCTCGTAAATTTGAGTGAAATATCATGACTTACAAGTGTTGGACAACTGTGGACGTAGGATTGGTTCGCTGTCTGCTTTTCGTAACCTCAATGTTCAGTGTCGGAGTGAACAAGGAGCAGGGCTGTCGAATGCAAAAAGAAGCGTTGTGTGGTGGGCAGCTCAAGCAACACAAAGAAGATGAAATTGTGATCATCTATATACACATGTATGTATGTATGTATGTATGTATGCAAGAACAACAACCTGGCTCTCGATATAGCTGTGGCTGTGGAGACTCTACACGAACCTGAGCCAACCAACCAGCCTAGTGATGCAACTAGTAAGAGTGTTGACCCAACGACCACGTCAACTTCGGTATCGCAAAATACTGTGAATTCAACCCTAACATCAGTTCCAAAGGGCGTTTCTGCTACAAAATCGCACAAGTCTACTGATTCAACTGACAGTAACCCAACCGGCCAGACTACTGGTATCACCAGTCATAATGTGAACCCCGTAGCCAAGCCGACCAAGGTGTCAAAGGAGGCTGAAAGGTTTATTATCGCTATCAATCTCTGATCCTTCCTGATTAATCTTTTGTGAAAGATCTAGATAGCGTCTGATCTTTGCCGAGATAATATGAATACGCCAATTTCCAAAAGAATCCAGTTTGTAATGGCAGTGACGATGCTTCTTTGACTGAGAGGAGCGGGTAATACAGAAAACGAAGCACGAGAGCGCGACCATGGTGGCCCTTTCTTGTCAAGTTTTCTTAGCTAAGCAAGCTGCGCGTGACTATGGTCGCGCCCGCTTGATTATCCTGATAAATAAGACTGCTTAAGCGAGCGCGAATGCGTTCGCGCTCGCTTAATTATCCTAACACAGATGCTTTTCCCCTCAGAACTGGCATTTCATGTATCCACACAACGCTAGTGAGCATTCAGTATCAAGCTTACTTCCCCCATTGTATTGGGACTCTTTCGCAAGTGCTACAGCACCTTCGTCTCAGGACCTCGTGCGCACAGCGCCCTGGTCGAGCCAAGACAATTCTACGATTCCTCTTGGGCTACATATCGCATCTTCGTCTTATGTGAGAGTCCGGAGCCGCTTGCGATCATATAAAGACCCACTCCAAAGCACTGCCAACTCTGCTCTGCTTTTGTTGTTTACCAAAGCGCAACTCTGGTGCCTCTTGAGCACCGCACGGACCATGCAACAGTCCCTCAGGTCATGCTTCATGATCTCTTGTGTTGCATCTTCTTCAGCTCCAGTTCAAGCCTCAGCAACAACAATGTCAGTACCTCCAACAACCTCTTCCCTCGATCGCAACACGACGCGCAATAGAGCATCGGATAGCTGCTAACCTTGTCAAAGATCGACCGTTTGTTGTATCTCTTTATCGTCATCGCCGCCGACACCATGTGAGTCCCTATTCTTGATTTTCCTCTCCAACTTTGTGTTCTCATTCACAGTTCCGTGTTGCACCATCTCAACTCCCAGTCTTCCTTTCTTCTCATCCTACACTTTCACACGCCTTGCAAACAGCCGAGTATCGTACTGACCCATTTAGGCGCCCTGGTCTCTACAGCTGTGAGCTATGTCTCAAGAAAGCCATGGACTGGTATCCCAGTAAGAGAGAACCCCAGAAAATTCCAAAGATCTGTATCGACGAGGAGGACTGTAAGTTGCGCATAATTTTCACCTGTCATGCTTGCGCTAACTTTGGGGCAGTCGACAGAGAGGAGTTCTATTGCGGTAACTGCGATTGCGGAGGGGGAGATTGCGACAGTCTGAGTTTGACTCGTGCCCATGTTTGAAATTCGAGTGTTAACGAGATACAGGGCACTCAGCGCATGGGAAGTCTGCTCGAGCGCTTCATTCAGCACATCAAGGCCAATCGCCGCCTTACCAAGAAGGCGTACGATTCCAAGCCCAAGACCATCCGGCTTCGCAAGAAGGCTAGTCGAGCTATCGCATCGTACTCGAACAGATCTGCTGCCGACTCTATGAAGAACCATCGCGCTGAGCACAAGCGTGTCATTGCCATAAACACGCTCTCCTGTTTGATTGATATCAGCAACACTCTGCGCCACATCGCCTAGTACGGTATCCCTGGTTGTCAAGAACTGTGCGTCAATGCTGCTGGCTGTCAGCAAGTTTCCGTCAGCCCCGCCGGCGCCACAAATTCTGATGTTAGCTCTGGCTCTTCTACCGCCGCTGAGATGCCCGTCCGGTGCGGTCCTAACAAGATGCCTGATGAGTGTCTTTGGGACTTACCTTCGGATGAGGATGAGGAGAAGTAGAACTAAAGTTCAATATTTTGACCCCGAGGTTTTTCTTCTGATCGATGCGTGGTATATTCATCAAGATAGTATTCTCTGCCGTCTGTTTTAGTGTCTGCTGAAGGTAATCAACATATCGGCAATTGACCACCAATTGGGTTACTCTCACCTTGTCTTGACTGTGATGTTCTGTCCTGAGTTCCGACATTCAATTCTGAGTGGTGACAATACCCTAAACTCGTTGACAAGGGCCCGTACCCCAGTGAGTTAGCAGGCCAACGGTGGGCACCTACGTCGTTTCCCACCAATCGTCTTACACAGCAGACACGCAAGAAAAAGTTAAAGTGCAACAGGCGCCCATAGACATAACCAAGGGGAGACAAGAAAACTAAGGACCTTTATCCTGAGCGACAAAAACAACTAGTCTAAGGGCCTTTTAAGTCTGCATTAAATTTACCAAGTCTTTTTGTCACGTAGGTTAGAGGTCCTGAATTGCTCCCTGAGGATCAAATGACAACCTGAGGCAAATTCACATCCCCATGTTTCTTTCACGGTAGGTGAAAGGTAAAGAACACTTCACTGTCGTAGAACCTTTGGTGACTGTCCCAGGCACGGTTGTTTGAATGAAAAATGTGGAAACTATGGAGCACAGTCTTTGTTGTTTAGCTTAGTCCCTGGAGCACTCAGCGCCTTACTGCTCCGTCAATCAATCATTTGTGCACCAGTGAGCCAGACATCATCGATTCACCGCAGGAATACTGCTAGCTACCAAAACATGAGCCATATGGCTAGCAAGTATTTCTTTCACTATATAAAGTAGCGCATCTTTTCCCTTTTGCACCATTCTTTTCATCTTGTTATCATCTCAACCATACTTCGCAAGCGCAAGAGCACATGGCCACCATGAGCAACGAAGAGACCCAAGGTGCCTCTGGAGAGGACCAAGAACCTACATTATATCACATGGGCCTACCCGGACCTTTCCTGGTAGTCGGACAGTCGCTCCGACTTGTTGGCGCAATCAATGCCCAAGGGGACTTCAGGAGCCTGGCTCTGCAAACTCGTTATGGGCTGCCAAGTCATGATCAGAAGGTCAGTATCTGTGAACTAACGGATGGTGCTCAACAGGTCGTACTTGTTGAGGGAGGAGACGAGGCCTTGAAGATGGTCTTGCTCGCTCATGAAGCTGCGGCAAGATTCTGCTGCGCTGTGGGGTCTCCGTCCTTGGTGTACGATGTGATCGTGGAGGATGAACGAGACGAGGGCTCTTGAGCGGGGATCGACGGGTAAGTTCACGGAAGGCTCCTAAAAGATATAGCTGACAGTTTCAGTGATTGGGGTTCCATATCGCGGCTCGCTTTGATCCTCCTTTTGTTGACGCTATGATTGAGAGTTCATATACACAGAGAACAACAGGGGCACAAGATAAGGACAGTGACAGATATGTATATGAAGCTTTGGAGCGGAGTACTTGTATTGATGGAGACTCAACTGGATGTAACGATTCCCTTGTACACTTAGTGTTAGTCGCCATGGTTTAATCGGCTATTTGGGTACTTCAATGAGCGAAAGAATTGAGAGACTTTGAACCTATCTCCATATAGTGTTTGGGAACATTGAAGGTGAGACAACACATCGCAGACTTGACACCCCAACGTCCTGATCAAGATACTGGGACTTCAAGTGGCTGGGTTGTCCTTGCTTCAGCCCACCAATAATAAAGCTGAACTGATATGGGCATTTGCAGTGAAATATGAAATTGGATAAAGAGTCCTGTAACGCATTGAAGTTGTTTATTACCAGAAAGCAGCCTGTGCGACACCCTGAATGCCATTGACTCGAGATCCAGAATGCCTAGACATAGCCAGTCACCCATTCCTTCAGGCCCGCTTACGTCTCCGAAAAAGAAATCCTTTCCAGGCCGAAAAAAGGCAATTAAAAAGCTATTCACAGAACGGTTGTCGGCGTTCTGCCAAGATCGTTGCGGGGGAGGTCGAAACCCAAACCTCTGGCTCAAGACGTTTCATCCTCACTTAAGCGACGACGTCAATCGGCCATGCTGTATAAACAGGCTGAATCAACGTTTCGCGTCGTTTCGGCTTTAAATTTCGAGCCAATCACGTTTCAATTAATTGCAACCATATATCTAAGCTTCAAACGGTAACTATTAATAGTAGAAACCAAACAGTTTCAGTGGTAATAGAATGGTGTAATGTGCTGGAAACAGAATGACTTTGAGACGAGATGGGTTCTTAAGTGTTTAGGCGAGCGTTTCTTCAGTCCAGATGGGGACGCGAAACAGTCGCGTACTCAAATTAGAAGTGAGGTGGGCGCGAGAGGCCTGGCCTTTGGCTCCCTCTCGAGTCTCAAGAGTTTGAGGCTATTCTTGTATTTCTTGGCTTCATTCGGGTGAAGAGTATAATTATTGAGCTGTGTTCTTCCTTCTTGTACATCTCCATCTTCTCATACTCAGTCTTCATTCAAGCACATCATCTGCATCCTTCTCAAGTTCATTTTCTTGATACCCAGCACGAACACATTCCCCAAAATGCCTCTTCTTCGAAACGTCCACAACCGACGAACAACACGTCAAAGACACATCAACCCTCATCGAATACTCGCCACAAGTATTCTTATTCCCGCCCTCGCCTTGGCCGATGACGAGCCTACATCCTCAACAGATCAAGTCTCCGAGCCTTTCGTCGATCAAGTGACAGGTCTCACAATGGAGCGCTTCTTCGGCGCCCGAACCTCCTTCACATTTGCCCTGGCCTTACCCGACGCCGCACCTGCGAACGGAACTGCCGGTTCCTTCATCGGACAACTACAATTTCCGCTGGCTAATGGCGAAGGATGGGGTGCAGCTGGCTTGACGGGAGACATGGAGGGTAACTTTATCCTTGCCGCATGGCCTGACGGAAAAGGAGGAGTCATGGCTTCGTTTCGACAAGCGATCGATGAGGATAATCCTGCGGAAGTCAAGGGAAACTTCAAAGTGAGACCTTTGCCTGATGGAGTCTCGGTAAACGAGACTTCATTACTGTACACATTCCTCTGTGAGAACTGCCTCGATAGCCCATTAGGTCTCGGCCCCGAAGCTGCTGTTGGAAACGCGGTGATGGGCTGGGCATTGTCGGAGAGGCCTCCAAGGGGAGACCCTTCAAATCCTGGCGCATTCCTTGGTTTTCACGAGAGGGGCTTTGGTCCCTTTACTGCACGTCTGGCACAAGCCAAGACAGCAGGCTTTGATGCCGTTGCAGCTAAGGCCCTTGCACCGGTTGGTGACTCTGGAAGCGCTGTGGCGACTGTCCCCAACGCGTTTCTAGATGGCGGTAGTGATGACGAGGATAGTGGTGATGAGGGGACTGGAACGGGAGGTGGAGTCGGAGGTGGCAATGATGTTGATAACGATTCTGGAGATGAATCAGGGGATGAGGACGATGACTAGAAGGATGATAGAATTGTTAGCACCTCCAATGCTTTCAAAGTTGTACATCATTAGTTGAGCCAGCGTCTATACTTAGCGTACTTGAAAACAAAGTTCCAAGAACCCTGCATGCCTGCCATATTGTGAGCAACGTCCCACTGAACGAGGCTGGTACAACATGAGTCCAGCTTATGAGGCATGCCGAAACCGGTCGCGACGATGCCAGTTGGTGGTGGGACTTGTGTTCGCAACAGCTGAGCGACGTGTTGAAGGTTGCGGTTTGCCGTCGTACCCAGTCTTATGTCCTTGTCTGCCTCTATGATAGCGTATATCATACGGAATCGCTGGCTATACTGAGACATTTGGTGCGGTGGAAGAGAGTGAGTTGAAAGATGAACCATGAGAGTTGGAGCCGATCACGCCGTGGTTCGCTGGCCCATCGGACCGCCTAGCTACTGTAGCTTCAGTGGAAGGAATTTGTTCAAGTCACGCCACTTGCCAAAGTGGGGCTGTGTAACTGAGCTCTGGGCATAACCAAAGGGAGGCAAGAAAACTTAGGATAGGAAGCTATTGAAGTTAAGGTGTCACTACCTTGTCCTGGTGTCTTGTCCCTGTCTCTAATCAGCCCATCACATCAAAACTCTAATTATCCCATCTTTCAAGGTACCTTTTTGCACTAGCAGCTGGAACTCAGCTGGTCGATAACGGTATCGCTGCCCGGACAGCGAAGGCTGCCGAAAGGGTTGAAGAGAGATGCTCACTGTTTGGTGTGTACTCAGATATGGAGCCTAGATCAAATGAGAACAAAGTAAGGCTTCGCGATTGGACTTGGACCGCATCAGCTGTAGCTGACTAGAGTTCGGCGCATACTGGTGGCGTTGACCTTACTGACTTTCTGTCTCATATCAATGATCCTGACGAAAATGAAGAGATAAGCACTAGTGTATATTGGGGTTCTTCAGCATATATATTATACACTGATTACAATAAGAAAACTGTTATAACTGACGTGAGATATTGCCAAAGTCAATGAGATTAAACGTAATCAATATTTATCTATCTATCCAATCCCTGCCGTGATACACTGCAATACTAATCGTTGTTATATTATACCATCTTAGGATCTTATTTAATCTGCTGTAAGCTATGAGTACAGAGTATGTCATACAAACGGTCCAGCTGATGGTAGGCAAGAAGAACTAGCCAAAAAAGAAAAGTCTCGATGTCTCTGATCTCTTCTAGATTCCGCTGAAATGTGCACTCACAGTACCACTAATCAGTCAAACCAACAGCTCAACGAAGAAAGCCCCCAGGCATGCTTTCGGGGTCCATGGCCCTGAGTCTCAAATTGGCGAGAATTTCGGGATCGACGATCAGACTTCAGAGCGACAGCTCATCCGCCGACGCCGTTGCCTTAATCACAACGTGCAACGATGTCCTCAACACAAACTAATTGCTGCTCGACTCGGCACATAATGTCACTATCGGCTTCTCTTTTGTAGCTCACGCCATAACCTTATTGAGGGGGTAAGCCACCCCGGCCACCCTAAGTCCACCAATTTGGGTAACATAACCCATGTTGTCCTCGTGCTCT